TGTGTTTGATACAGTGAGGTGTGTTTGATACAGTGAGGTGTGTTTGATACGAGTGAGGTGTGTTTGATACAGTGAGGTGTGTTTGATACAGTGAGTTGTGTTTTGATAGTGAAGTGTGTTTGATACAGTGAGTTGTTTTTGATACAGTCAAGTGTGGTTGATACAGTGAGATGAGGTGTGTTTGATACAGTGAGGTGTGTTTGATACAGTGAGGTGTTTTAACAGCCTCAGTGTGGATGTGATGAACCTGTGAGCGGGGGTGGAGGAGGTAAACCCCCGTCATCTCCTGCTGATCAAAACCACTTACACACTCTACTAATTGGAGAGGAGGCTGCAGAGATAATATATTCATACACGCATTAACACAAACACACACACACACACACACACACACACACACTCTCAGACAGATGTGTGTGTTTGAGGGGAAATGTGTGAACAAGCAGAGAGAGGTGATGGGCGTTAATGATATTGATGCTAATTCCATCACTCTGTGTGTGTGTGTGTGTGTGTGTGTGTGTGTGTGTGTGTGTGTGTGTGTGTGTGTGTGTGTGTGTGTGTTATAATGTTTGAGTATCAAAGTCTCATAGTTATTAATATTTCATGTTTGCAGTGATCAGTATTCAGTCTGTGGAGGTTTGGCTCAGATCAGTTTGCTACTGCAGAGCTCTGCAGTAAAACACAGTAGAACCACTTACAGTAGAGTACAGTAGAAAAACATTAGACTAAAGGAGAGGCAGTTACTGTATAATAGAGGCCATGATTCTTCACTGTTCAGTGCTTTAACCGCAGAGTGCACCTCTGAGAAGAATCAGCTTTACCTCAGAACTGTAATAATAAAATAAAACACATCAAATTTAGGGAAACAGGAAAAATAAAACTGACAGCTGAGAAGGTGATTTGAAAGACAGCTTGTCTTTACTGAGTAGACACAACAGATTTGCAGTAGAAACAGTCTCAGCTTTAATTACTGGACCAGAATAATTCACCAGTGTAGATTTTACTGTGAAAAGATTTTACAGTGAAAAGACGACACCTGTCAGTCCTGAGGAGACATCTCCTGCTGCTCTGACACCACAGTGTTCGTCATCTGTAACTGGTCAGCTGCCTGTCATGAAGGTGGAGTAGTTGTAGTTATTAGTAGTGATGACCTGAACACCACTGTCACTGTCGGTGTCTCCGCAGCGTAATGAACAGCTCTGACAGGTCCAGGTCTGGGGTCTGTTGTGACCTGTACATTACACTGAGAACAGGGGGATCCACTGAAGGCTGGACTGTCCCTTCAGGTCCAGATCGGTGTTGATGGTCCCGGCTGTGGGACATGTAAACTGCAGCTGCCTCAGACTGAATCTGATGCCTCTAATTCCTCTGATATTTTTAGACTGTAGCAGTTGTTTCCTGCTGCAGGGAGAGCTGAGTCTGTTAATCTGTTCTGAGATCTGTTGTTATTCTCTTATTATTCTGATCTTCTGTCCTGGATTAAACTGAGGAGAATCTCTAATTCTTCTTATTCTCATCTGATCCTCCTGTCAAACACTGAACTCTGTGTGTTTACATCAGTACAAACAGGATTTAATCCAGATTAGAAACAGAGAGGCAGGAATAGCAGCTCTGCAGCCTCGTCATCAATAAAATAAACTGGCATGAACTGATGATTATGTGACAGCCCCTTATTGTTCTGTCTGAGGAGAAAAGAGGAATTAGCTCCATTCAGCTCGGACTGGATCAGAACACAATGGCCCAGAATCAGAGATTCTTTCTGCTGCAGAAACAGACTAAAGTCCTGACAGAGCAGGATCAGACTGTTCACACTCACCAACACATAACACAAGTCTCAGGGACTCACCTGGTTCACGCCGGAACCTGAACTCTTCAGAACCGTGTGAGTCTTTGAGGCTCCAGGAAGTTTCAGGTAACGTCAGGCGAAAATCAGGATAGGTTGTCTGATGTTTACTGTCTGGATCATGTTCATGTTATTTCTACCACACACACCAGTCTGAATGTGTTTTCATGTAGAAGGCGTGGCCTCACCTGGTCTAACCTGGCCTCACCTGGCCTCACTTAGACTGAATGACCCTGGTCAAAGAGGATGAGGAGCAGTTAACCCTGTCCTGTCCTCTGCAGGTGTGGTTCAGTCTGACAGCATCAGAGCTGCCTGTTGGTCCGAACAGTTTCAAGAGGCCCAGACGCTAAGTGATCTAAAAAAGGCGGCAGGGTTTGGACTCTTCAGTGAAGATGATGATGGCGAAGATCTTCAGACCGTGGTATAGCTGTCGGATCAAAGATGGAGGACGGAGACATGACACTGAGGGAAATGCTAAACTTTAAAATCTGTGTCGGGGTGTGACGAGGTCTTTGTGTGTAAACAGCTCATTGTGTCCCTGCGGCAGCACGCTGCGTCACCACGGCAACAAATTGACTTCCTGTGGGGACAGCGATGATGATGAAGGTGTGTGTACAGTCAGCTCTGTGACTCACACACAGAAGAAAAAACGCCTTTTTGGGAAATTACATTTTTATTTTCTGACAACCACTGACAACATCAATCCCACTGGGACTAAAAGTGTGTGTGTGTGTGTGTGTGTGTGTGTGTGTGTGTGTGTGTGTGTGTGTGTGTCTGTGTGTGTCACGGCTGTCACACACACTCGATGATATCAAAACATCCTCGTTTCTCTGAGCACCGAAAAATATTCATGAGCTCACCAGGGGAGTGTGTGTTCCTGTGTGTGTGTGAGAGAGAGAGAGAGAGAAAGAGAGAGAGAATAATAATAAATCTGAACAGGCATCCTGAAGGTGAAAAAAAGACAAAGAAGGAAACTAAGAAAAAGACAAATAGAGAAACAAAGAAAGAAGCAGAGAAAATAGAGGTACTGATGAAGTACTGCTGTAGTACTGATGAAGTACTGCTGTAGTACTGATGAAGTACTGATGTAGTACTGACAGTATGTAACTCACAGAGCTTCTGTTCCTGTGGACTCAAACCAGGAAAGAGGGACCTGTCAATCTCTATCTCTGCTCATCTCTGTCCATCCATCTCTGTCTATTATCATCTCTGTCTTTCTCTGTCTATCTCTACTCTAAGTACTTAGCACTTACACCAAGGTCTCCTGCTGCACTGATGCTTTAGTGGTGCCCCTCACTTGTCTCTTTGGATAAAAGTGTCTGACATATGACTAAATGTATAAGTGAAATATCTACCACTGAGGTTACATTCTTGGTCACAACAACCAGCAGGTTGACTTTATCATCATCTGCTGAAAAGCCTCCCTCAGGGTGAACAGGTGACAAGTGAACAAAGACATGAATCATCGCAGTGAATCCTGTCCGTTCAGGTTATAGATCATAATGACGCTTTGTGAAGCTTATTCATTTTCTCAGAGATACAGCCTGTGGTCAAAACACTTCAGGTCAGTTCACAGTGTTTGACCTGTTGTCGGCGGTGATGTCAGCTCCAGCTGGTCAAAGCCTCTCCTAGTCTGGTGTGGTCTCTGGGGAAGTAGACTGTCTGGAGACACATTTTCAGTTCAAAGTCTAGATCCAGATCAGTGAAGCTGATTTGGACTCTGATGTAACCGCCCCCTCCCTGTTTACTCTAAAGTCCTATGTATCAGTTCTCCAGTGTGACTTTACACCTGCTAGTGATGACACAACATGATGATGAGTAATTAGTGTCTGAGGGCGGGGCTGGTGACAGTGGGCGGGGCTATGTCATGTTTAATCACAGATGTCCATGTCTTATTCTTCTTCTCAGATGTTTTTGTAAATTAAATTATGTTGAATGTCATTCGTTTGCTGCAGCCTCAGCACAAAACCACACCCAGTCCACAACCAGGCTCAGTCCTAGTCCTGGATTGAAGTGGACTGGCTGTGCTGGGGTCAGTCTGCAGATGCCTGGCTCTGAGGCTCCTCAGCAGAGAGAAAGTAGGACAAACTGAACACACACATGCACTGAGGGAGAGTCCCCGAGAGCAAGGGAGAGGAAACAAAGAGAGGAAATGTAACTACACACATACGCACACACAGACACACACGCAACGCACACACACACACACACAGCTGTGTTGGATTGTGCCATCTCTTTGAAGAGTGAGTGTGAGAGTCAGCAGCAAACCACAGAGATAATATGGGGGTGGAGGTGGTGTGTGTGTGTGTGTGTGTGTATGTGTATGTGTGTGTGTGTGTGTGTGTGTGCCTGAGGTAAGGCAGCCTGTAATCATCACCTCGACGTGTTGAAAGCAGCCTGTCCTTCATTTACATACAGAGAGAGGAGGAAGGAGTGGAGATTGGGGGGGGGTCCAATGAGAAAATTAAAAGAGAGAGAGAGAAAGGGGGAGGGAGGGAGGGGGTGGAGGGGTGGGGAGGTGATGGGAACAAAAGAGGAGTGAAGTACAAACTGCAGTGTTTACCAAAGTAAACTGCTGAATGTGCCACTGCACCTGCAGCATCTGTCATGTTACCATGGTTACCTGCAGGTTAGCACACCTGGAGATCTGGAACAAACACCAGGATTACAACACACACCTAACAGCCAATCAGTTGGAAGCATTTTTTATGGTCCTAATTTATTCTGGGAGTCCTTGAGAAGCCTGGAGGGGTCCCTAAGAAAGTATCAGGTCACTCCTTGGATCCTGGAAGATGTTACAGTGTTCCTTGAGGATGAGGAGGTACCAGAGCAGGTTCTAGTGGTCCAGTACGTGGTTTCAGTGATTCTTGAATAGCTTTCCTTGAGGAGCTGCCAGGGGTCATGGAAGAACCTTTAAGGAGGTTCCAAACAGACTTATAGATGTTCCAGGAACCTTTAATGTGTTTCCAGGCGTGAGGAAGGTACCAGAGGTTCCATTTGTTTTTCAAGGAAACTGCTGATGAATTTTCAGAAATCATGGAATGGTTCCCAGGTGTCCTTAAGTTGACTCTTGACAGAACCTGGAGCATCAGTCCTTTTGCCATGGTTACCTGCCGGTTAATAATCAGATTGTAGTTACACCTGAACTGTGTGACACATGACAGCCAATCAGAGAGCAGCACCCTTCATTGCTATGGTACGAGGTGAAGCTGATGATGAGGAGGAGTCAGGTGTGAGGAGGTTTGTGGTGGCTCACCTGCTGGTCAGGTATGTCGTCAGAGATCATCAGGTCCAGGTGTGACTCAGGAGACATGTTGAGGTGTTCCGCTGAAGGTGCGAGCTGACAGGTATGAAAAAGGAAGTATGCTGGATTCTCTCAGACATGTTTCTGAATCTCACATAACCCTGCAAGCTCTCACGTGTTCAGTCGTGTCCTCATTGAAGCTGCAACTGGATTCTCTGATGCTCTGAGCAGCAAAGGTGGACTTTCAAACCACAACTGAACACCTGCTAACACCTGCTATCACCTGCTAACACCTGCTGACACCCGCTAACACCTGCTGACACCTGCTAACACCCGCTAACCCCTGGCCTCTGTCATCAGTTTGAAAGGTACAATCAGCGTTCACTCCCAGGTCACATGACTCTACAGTAGTCTCCAGGTGTTTATCAGCTGTGATCAGCAGTGATATAAACATGACATCAGGTGAACAGCGCTTAGCCCTTTCCTACCTGTCTAGGTGCTGTTAAACAGAAACACTAGAGCTGCAGCCAATCACTGATCGAATCGTCTCACACAGGAGCTCCAACCTCTGATGAATCCATGTCACCAGTCTGACCAGCAGCTAAGAGCTTACTGTCTGTGTGTGTGTGTGTGTGTGTGTGTGTGTGTGTGTGTGTGTGTGTGTGTGTGTGTGTGTGTGTGTGTGTGTGTGTGTGTGTGTGTCTGTTCCTCTGTGAAACACCTTTATCTTCTGACCTGAACTACGAAATATTTTCAATAATCTTTATATTGATCTGATGATCAAACACAGATGTTATCAGACTAAGTCAGTGTGAACAGAGAGGGTGTGGCTCATTCATCCTCAGAATCCTTTGAGTCTGATAGAAAAAAAGGAACAGACAGACAGGTGACTGATCAAACATGAATTTATTTTCTGTCTGTCTTTTTCCTCATTTTTGACTTTAACGCTCCGTTACCTCCAGAAGCCCCCCATCTACGCCCCTTCATCTCTACCTCTCTCTCCCCTCCCTCTCTTCACCCCACACTTTACCCCTCTCTCTTCCCTCTGTCCTTCTCCAGACCTCTCTCTCTTTCTCTCTCTCTCTCTCTCTCTCTCTCTCTCTCTCTCTCGCTCTTTCTTCCAACTTTAACTCTCTCATTTTACTTTCTGACAACCGACAACTCTCTCTCTCTGTTCAGCTGCATGAATTATAGATGAACCTCTCTCTATCCCCCAACACACACACACACACACACACACACACACACACACACACACACACACACAGGCCCCCCATCAGGCTGAAGGAGGAAGTTATTACCATACAGACAGTGTGAGGATGTTCAGTATTACCATGGAAATGTTGAAGCATCTGTGTGTGTGTGTGTGTGTGTGTGTGTATGTCCTGAGGCCTCTCTTGGTGTTTCCCAGCATGCACTGGGGCAAGTTAAACAGCGAGAGTTTCAGTCTGAACCAACACACAGCAGGAGGGAGGGAGGGTCGAGCGAGCATGACTCAAACACAAGAGAGAGAGTGATGAATAGTGTTTTGTATGAGAGGGAAACATGCACTGTAAAAAAAAAAACACTGGGTCATAAGACCAGAGTGAGGTCCTGACAGCGCCACCTACAGGCTGCAGACGTCACAACAGCCAAAGTATGACACTATAAATGTTCATCCTCAGGTCACATGACCCAGTCATGGGGTCATACAGGTGTGCTTTGTCTCAAGTGGAACATCACATAAATCTGAGAGGAAAAAACATAATGATTTTCATTACTGATAAAAAAATATAATAAAATGTATAAAATAATTCATCACAGACGGAGACGACATCTTCAGATATTTTATTTGATCAAACAGTAGTTTACAACATAAAACAGAATCTCAACTTCATCAAAATTAATTTTCTGTCAGTCAACTTATTGATCAACTGACCAATCATTTCATCTCTAATGAACATACAGATTATTGACAGAATGAATACAAAGAGTCTTGACAGCAAAGACCAGGTCCCCTTGAGTCCTGAATCTAGTCGTGAACAGTAACAGTCTAATATCTGGGTGTGGTCACAGGTGCAGCAGATCACACCTGACCACACCTGCTGGGATGTTGGCTGTGGTCAGAGGTAAGAGTTTTACAGTCTGGTGACTGGTGACAGAAAACTGCCTTCAGACTGTAACCAGTTTGACACCAGTCTCCAGTCTGTCATAAAAACCAACCAACCCACTGAGGTTTGAGTCATTTCACTGTGTTGCCGTGGTTGCGGATGTGTTGCCATGGTGACGTTACCACAGTCAATTACAGTTTGACCGTCACATGAAAAGTGTGAAGCAGCAAAATATTTTATTAATAAGTTGAGAGAGAAACAGACAGAGAGAGTCTGCAGGGCTCAGCTTCACCTGCTCAGGTGTATTTACATATTTATATTTGATATTTCAGGCTGTGAAACAGATTCATGTTCCTTGACTTTAATCTGAGACGTTACGGTTCAGCTTTGCTCTGAAACAGCAGCGGGAGCTCAGTGTTCAGTCAGAAATCAGTGTCTCTGTGGGCTGAAGGTGAAGTCAAGAACAAATCCCTCTGTGGATTTAAAATAAGGCTCACATCACAGATCATTTTCTGCAGAGTCTCTGTTCTGTAGCAGTCTCAGTCTGATGTCGAACAGCTGGAGCTGGAGGACCTTTCACCTAACCCTAAGCAAACAGGACTGATGATGTCTAACACTGCAGTGTGTGTCAACTCTAATCTTTCAGTGTGTACACATGCTGAGACACTTTGTCAATATTTAACCAACATTTAGCCAACACTTCGTTGATGATCAGCGTGTCTGTTTTTCTATTTGCTGATAACACTAGATTAAGACTAAGATTTTGACAAGTACCAGTTCCTCTTCTGTTTTTAATCTCTCTTTCTCTCTCTCTCTCTCTCTCTCTCTCTCTCTCTCTCTCTCTCTCTCTCTCTCTCTCTCTCTCTCTGTCTCTCTGTCTCACCTGTTACAGGTAAAGAGGAGCTGCCATGTTGGCCTCCTCCATCCTCCCGTCTCTTCTCTTCCTCCTCCTCCTCCTCCCTCCCTCCTTCTCTGCTGATGTCATTGTGACCTCAGACCCCTCAGTGCGATGGGTGGAGCTACATGGCGCCCCCCTCTCTCACTTACTGCTGGACCCGGGGACAGGGCGTCTGTATGTAGGCGGGGTTGACCACCTTTACCAGTTGACATCTGACCTGGAAGTGATGTCACATGTTAGGACCGGCCCTCACTTGGACTCCCCGGACTGCCTGCCCCCCATTGTCCCTCAGGACTGTCCCTCAGCTGTACCCACACACAACCACAACAAACTGCTGCTGATGGAGGCGGGGCAGGGAGCGGAGCCAGGGAGTTTGATCGTCTGTGGTTCACTCTATCAGGGCATCTGTGATAAAAGGTAAGAGTTCATCATGATTGAATCAGTCAGTAAGAGAAGAACAACAGTCAGCTGCATCATGACTTTAAGCATGACATCATTTCCTCCTTTCAGAGGACGACCAGTAACGATGAAGAGAGATTAGACTCTAACAGCCCAGTGCATGCTGGGAGGCTTCCCTACATCCCTTTCAACATTTAGCCAACATTTAGTGAACATTTAGCCGAGACTATGCCGACATTTAGCCGACCTTTCAGTCCTCTTACTGTTTTATCAGAGTGGTTTTAGCCTGACAGCGTCATGTGGTCTGGATTAGTTAAATCATGAACTGTATTAAGGGAGTCCACTGAGTCTGGCCTTCTCTCTCTCTGCAGGAGTCTGTCCAATATCTCTCAGCTCATCTATCAGACGTCTAACCCCGTAGACACTCAGTACGTCGCCGCCAACGACCCCCGGGTCTCCACTGTCGCTGTGGTAGTAACCATAGAGAACAAACAGGAAGTGAACGGCGTGCTGCGTCTCATGCTGGTTGGTCGAGGCTACACCAGTAAAGGTCCCGGTGACATCCCACCAATCACGACGCGGCGTCTGTTCCCGGTGGTCCCACCTCGCCGGGCGTTCTCTCAGGAGGAGGAGCTGGGGAAACTTGTCGTAGGAAGTTACTCTGAGTACAACAACCACTTTGTGAAGGCTGTTGCCCACGGTGAACACGTCTACTTCCTGTTCTCGAGGCGGGACATGTGGCACAAGAAGGAGTACCGGACCTATGCCTCCCGCCTCTGCACCTCTGACCGCAGTTTCTACTCATATGTGGAGGTGCCACTGCTGTGCCACGGTGGATACAACCTGGCTCAGGGGGCGTGGTTAGGAAACCACTCAGGTGAACCCGCCCTGTTTGTCGTCATGGCAGTGGGGCAGGCGTCCACACCTGTAGCGACTGGTCGATCTGCACTGTGTGTTTTTGGGATGGCAAAGCTGGACGCCATGCTGCGACAGGCACAGGAAGTGTGTTACACAGAGGGAGGACGAGGCAGCAGCGGACAGGAAGAAGCCTACATCGAGTACGCCGTGTCATCGAAATGTCTCAAACTACCAAAGGTAAACACACATCTCATTTCCTTCTCTGCTGTCACTGTGGGTGACACCTGAACGTATCCACCACAGTCACCAGGAGTTTGTCTCCATAGCAATGAGTCTGACTGTCGATCAGTAAATATTCTGATCTGGTCTGACTGATGACATCACAGATTAAATCTGATGACATCAGATGGTTTGGATGGTGTGCGTGTGCGTGTGTGTGTGTGTGCGTGTGTGTGTGTGTGCGTGTGTGTGTGTGTGTGTGTGTGTGTGTGTGTGGATTAAAGCTGTTATCTTCAGCAGCTGGATTTATCATTAGACAGCTGTCACTCAAATACACAGTCACACACAGCTGGTAGGACTGATCTGACCCAGATATTATCGTGTACACGCACACACACACACAGAGATTAACTGCATTGCCTTTGTGTTGTTGAGTGGATAAAAACAGGAGTGTTAAAGGTGAATGGACACATGAGTCTTTTTGCACATCTGTTCACACCTGTAGTAGCACTTTACACCTTCATATGTCCAGAAGTTTGTGGACAGCCCTAAAGAAGAGAGAGCAGAGAGCAGGATGCTCACTGAAGTTCTCCTCTGTGATGCTCAGTAACAGCACTAACAGCTTCCACATGATGCTGCCGAGTGTGGTCACTACGCCAAAATCACCCAGAGCTGGTCCTGGGATTTGATCTGTGGCTTTTAGTTCAAATGATGGGAGTTCTTAAAGTCTGTCCAGAGGGGCCGTGAGATGATAAACAACATCAAGAGGATTAAAAAACATTTCCGCTCAAGAACTGTAGAACGGTAAAGTTTAAGCTCCTCTGGATAAAAGATCAACATGAGTGGTGAATAATTAAAGTAAAGAAGCTCACAGCTCAGACACACACGTCATTAGTACAGTTGGTGTTTGAGCGTAGAACTTATCAAGATACTATATTCCTGTTTCTTTTCTGGTGAGACACAACCTGCGGCTCCAGGTTTATGAGGATGAAGCAAACATTTTATCTAATATGACACAACACAGTGTTGTTCACTCAAATTACCTACGTCACAAATCCCTCCAGTAGAGGGAAATCTGAGCCAGACCGTCCCTGCAACTGCTGGTCACATTGAAACCAGGACCAGGAGGCTTTTAGACCTTGACACCACAGTCTCATTACACTGTCATAAAACTTCCACTAGTGTAGTTATTTCCCCTCAGCACTGTTCGCATGCATGTTGACGTTTGTTTGAGTCACTGACTCTCTCTCTCTCTCTCTCTCCATTTATCTGTAAGGTCTCTCTCTCTGAGTACCCCTGTGGGGGGGAACACACGCCGAACCCCATCGCCAGTGCTGTGCCACTCCCGGCCACGCCCACCTTTACCTCCACCACCCAGCTGACCGCCGTCACCACGGCTACAGAGGCGGGACACACCATCACCTTCCTGGGAGACAGAGAGGGACAACTGCACAAGGTGACAACATGAGCACAGTATATACTTTTTCATTGTTCCCTTTTGTCAGTTTGATTCCTGGATCAGCAGGATGAGGGTAAGAACAGCAGTACTGCCACACTGAGGTGCCCTTGAGCAAGGCCTGAAACCCCCAGCTGGTCCAGGGACCATCAGATCACAGCTGTGACGGTTTCTGGACCTGAAGTTTCCTGTTTGTGTTTGTTTGTAACTGCACCAGGAAACACCTCCCAGGCTGAAAATACACAGGAACTACACACAGCTACACAACACAACAAATTTACATCTCTCACACGCACACACACAGACACACACACACACACACACACACACACAGACACACACACACACACATAAACAGTGAACAGCTTGTAGCCTGAGGCTCTTTATCAACAAACAAACGGCTGTTAGTGTGATGACTAACGGGCGTTTAGCTCGGGGGGTGGGGGGTTGGGTGGGTTGGGGTTGTCACAGGGGAGCATGCTCAGACTCTTGTTGTTCATTGGTTATTGGTCCCCCAGGTGCACTCTGGGTAAGGATCCAGAAGGACACCTCTGAAACATTTACTGTGTTTGTGTGTATGTGTGTGTGTGTGTGTGTGTGTGTGTGTGTGTGTGTGTGTGTGTGTGTGTGTGTGTGTGTTAATGAGGTAAACAGCAGAGCTTTGATTCATCCTGTTAATATTTAATCACACACACGCTCTCAGCAGTTTACAGCTCTGCTCTGTTCAGATAAATTCTGAGCTTGTTCACTCGCAGAGATGAGACCAGCTCAGATACAGGACCACAGACCACAGCACTGATCCATCTGTCAGCTCACACACTGTCCAATCAGAGCAGAGGATGTACAGTAGACATGTTCAACACAACACAGAGCTACAGATTACTACTCCTCATCTGTGTGTGAACGCAGCGTTAAGGTGAAACAGAGCAGCTCCTCCTCCTATGATGTGTCCTGGTCTGGATTCTGTCTGTGGTGGACTCAGTCTCATCACCGCCCCCCTCCTCTCAACAACTCTGAGTCTTTACGTCTTGTTTCTTTTTGTTGTCTCGACACAAATCGTTTATATTTGTAGAGAACATCTTCACACTGTCACCTCAGTGAGAGAGGAGTTAAAACCCCACTTACTTTATAACCTCTGCACAAATGAACCAATCAATGAGTGCGTGGTTCTGATATCAGAGTGTTTTAAGAAGCCCAGTGTCGGCACCTGGAGTCAGACCAGTGTACCTGGACTGGTTCCGGCTGAGCATCATTTATCCAGGTGTGCTGAGGTGGGACCAGCAGCAGAGATCAGCCACTGTCAGGTGCGACTACCTGTGATGATCCAGGTGTGGTCATGTGATCTGTTACTCTGGAGGTGGATCGAAGCAGCAGCATGGACTCTGTTCATTTTCTATAAGTTACATGATAGATGAGGGTGTAGGATCTGTGGTTGTGGTGAAACAGCACCACCTGCTGGCCACTTGCTAAAACAGCACTTCCTGTTGAGTCAAGGTTTGTTTGAGTGCAGTGGTTTCTTAGTCTCTTTAAAACCAGTGAGGCCACTTCATCATCATCATCATCATCATCATCATCATCATCATCATCATCATCATCATCATCATCATCATCATCATCATCATCATCATCACTGTGATGATGAACACAAACATGTTGAACCTCTTACTATTACATGTTAATAACTGAACTCCCCTGTGTTCCAGGTGTTGGTGCGCACTGACTGGTCAGGTGATCTGTATGGCAGTGTGTTAGTGAACAGCGGCAGCGCCGTCAGTGCTGACCTCCTATTGGACGAGAGCCAGCAGTACATTTATGTTTTAACCAGCAGCAGGGTGAGAGACATCCTCCTCCATGGTTCCTGTCTGTCTCTGTCTTCATCCTGTCTCTCTCTCTCTCTCTCTGATGATCAAACTGACATGTTGTTGTTTCCTCTCAGTTGTCAAAGGTTCCTGTGTCGTCATGTGAGAGACAGACAGACTGTCAGTCCTGTCTCGCCGTCAGAGATCCATACTGTGGCTGGTGTGTTCTGGAGGGAAGGTATGTCTGTCTGCCTGTCTGTCTCACTGTCTGCCTGTCTCACTCTCTTTCTGTCTGCATACCTGTCCGTCTGTCTCTCCATCCATCTGCCTTTCTGTCTGCCTGTCTCTCTCTCTCTCTGGCTGCCTGTCTGTCTGACTGTCTGTGTTTCTTTTGTCCAGATGTTCCCGTAAACATCAGTGTCAGCGTCACCTTCAGTCCAATCACTGGCTCTGGAGCTTCGAACCAACCAATCAGTGTGTGACAGTACAGAGCCTGCAGCCGGCCAATCAGAGCAAAGATGAGCAGACCCAGGTACAGGTCTGTTGTTGGGCTGATTTTTGTTTCCTGGTTTTAGCTTGTGTCGGTCTCACTGTGTCAGACCACGTGATCACAGCTGATACACTGGGTCCATATAGATCCAGATAGATACTGACACACAGACCCGAGACCCACTGCAGTAAAACTGGTTTCCTGGGTAGGGTCTCAGTGGATCTGTGAAGACCTCTATCCTGAGAGTCTCCTCAGCCTCTGATGTTGATATGACCATGTGTGTGTTTCTGTTTTATCCAAGGTAACGCTGTCAGTCATCCAACTTCCCACCCTCACTGAGGCCGAGTCTCTGTCCTGTGCCTTTGGGCTCCTCCCACCTCAGCCAGCTATTGTCATGGGAACCAGCATCACCTGTCAATCACCTGCACCGGAGCTCCTGCCACCCATGCCCGCAGGAAGTGGTGAGTGAAACAGCATGTTCGTAGGGATTCATGTTTCAAGATCAGCTGATCAGGACTCAGAACTTCCTGCTCTGCTTCCAGATCACATGATCCTGCCTGTGTCACTGAGGTTCAGTCACGTGACCATCACCACAGGTCACATGACCTTCTATGACTGTGGAGCAGTGAGCCGACTCAACCAGAGCTCCCAGTAAGAAAACACACACACACACACAGTAGTGTGTCTATAGTGATGATGATGATGGTGATGATGTTAATGATGACGGTGATGATGAAGGTGATAATGATGATGGTGTGTTTCAGGTGTCTGGCCTGTGTCAGCAGTGTGTGGAAGTGTAACTGGTGTCCTCTGGATCAACTCTGCACTCACAACCACAGCTGTCCCAACCAACACATCATCCTGAACCAGAGAGTGAGACTACCTGTCTGTATCTCTACCTGCCTGTCTGTCTCTCTGTCTGTCTCACCCTGACTGTCTACCTGCTTGTCTGTCTGTCTGCCTGTCTCACCCTGTCTCCTGTCTGTCTGCAGGACTCTCCTGGTCCCTGTCCCCTGGTGTTCTCCCTGCAGAGTTCTGCCTTAGTGCCGATGGGCCTGAGCACCACTGTGGTGTTAGAGGGACGAAACCTGGACATCTACACCGTGAGACCTGTTTGTTATTTAGACTCAGAGATGGTATCACATGGAACCAGAACCAGAGGGTCATTACTCTGTGAATGTGGATGTGTTGTTGTGACAACTGTAAAAATAAATGACCATAGTGACCAGGTGACTCCTCAGGTGTTGTGTGAGGATTATGATCAGTCCAGTTTACCACAGGACCTGGATCAGAGCAAGTCTCCATCTGTGTCTCTGCAGGATGAAGCTCAGTACCTGTGTGTTGTGGAAATCCAAGGAGTCCAGATCAACCTGACAGCTGCTGTGGAGAAATCACATGACAACACACACACCTTCACCTGCAGCCCACACCAGGTAATGCACACAGTGGTGTGTTTACTGTCTCTCTGTCCACAGGTCTGTCTCTCATCTCTCTCTCCTCCCTTCTCTCTCACTTGTCTGTCTTCATCTGTCTCTCTCTCACTTGTCTGTCTCTCACCTCTCTCACCTGTCTGTCTATCCACCTGCCTGTTTCTTACCTGTGTCTCTCTCTCTTACCTGTCTGTCTCTCACCTGTCTCTCCCTCATTTGTCTCTCACTTTTCTCTCTCTCACCTGTCTGTCTCTCTGAAGTTTCAGTATGCAGTCAGTCAGCTTCAGTATTCTGCCCCCGTCTACCTGCGAAAAGGAGAGAGACGCATTGATGCCTCACCTGGCCTCCGACGTAAGAACCGTGTGTGTGTGTGTGTGTGCGTGTGTGTGTGTGTGCATGTGTGTGTGTCTGTCAGACAGGTATCACTAACTGTCTCTCTATCTCTTGTGTTCTTCAGTCCAGTTGTACGACTGCTCAGCTGGCCAATCAGATTGCTCGCAGTGCAGGGCGGTACCTGAGGAGTATGGCTGCGTGTGGTGTCCGGGAAGCCCCACCCCCAGCTGTGTTTACAACCAATCATGTACTGGCATACCTGAAGACACCTGCCCACCTCCTCAGATCACTCAGGTGAATCTAATGATCAGTTTGTTGTCACAGGGCTAGTTTGTTGCGATGGAAACTTTCAAACTGTCTGTCCACTTGTCTGTCTGCAGGTGTTACCTCTCTCTGGTCCTCTCGAGGGTGGAGTCTTGGTAACAATCATAGGGTCAAATCTGGGGATGAGGTACCAGGATGTGGTGGATGGAGTCACAGTGGCAGGTGTTCAGTGTCTGCCCCAATCTGTAGGATACCAGATCTCCACCAGGTAACACGCACGCACGCACACACACACACACACACACACACACACACACACACACACACGCACACACACGCACACACACGCGCACACACGCGCACACACGCGCATGCACGCACATGCAGTCTTGACACAGTGTTTTACATTATGCAGAGCCATTTTAAAATACATCCAATAATGTGTGTGTGTGTGTGTGTGTGTGTGTGTGTAGGGTTGTGTGTGAGCTGCAGCCCAGTGGGAAGCAGAGAGAGGGACCTATCCTGGTTACCGTGGGAACAACCCCACCTGGGAGGTCAACGCAGATCTTCACCTATCAGGTGAGTGTGACGTGGGTCCTGCAGAGATGTTAAAGGAGCAGTGGTCCTCCTCCTCCTCCACCTCCTCCTCCTACTCTTCCTGCTGGATCTCAGAGTCCAGACTCTTTGCCAAGAAAACTCTTTCAGCTGCCTGAATCCACCATCTCATTGTTTCAGTCACTGTCCAGAAACCAGGACCACACATGTGACCCCCCACAGTCTCAGTCTCTACTGCTCATATGAGGAAGTAGAGAGGACAGAGGGTTTGATCCAGATCCTCTCTAACTCCTGTGTGTTCTTTTGTTCAGGACCCTCAGCTCCTGGATCTGGTTCCTAATAAAGGTCCAGTCTCTGGAGGAACCAGACTGACCATCAGAGGATGGCAGCTGCTGACTGGACAGACGTCTGACCTGAGCGCCTTCGTGGGTCCACAGCCCTGTTACATGTGAGTACTGCAGTACTACTACTACTACATGTGAATACTACAGTACTATAGTACTACTACTGGTTCTGCTGTTCAACAACAGTTATGTCTGACTGACATGTTAACTCCCCCTCGTGGTCTCCTTGTCCTCTGGTTTTCCTTGTCTCCTCTCAGTGTGGAGGAGGTGAATGACACCCAGTTGGTGTGTCAGACTGGTGCCAGTACTCAGACTGGTGGAGTCACAGTTCGGGTTTTGTTCGGTAAAGCAGAGCGGATTGTTCCCAACGTTACCTTCCGTTACCTTGATGACCCCGTCATCACTGACGCCACACCTTCAGAGAGCTTCTATGCGTAAGAACTTTGTCACCAATAATCGATCACTAATCAACCTGATGTCATAATAACGTGCTGACTTCCTGTCCACAGAGGGGGGCGCATCGTCATGGTGACAGGCAGGAACCTGGATGTGGTCCAGCAGCCAATCATATCTGTGTGGGTGGAGCCTCTGGAGGTCCAGAGGGTGAAACGGAGAAGACGATTGGCTCTCCTCACCGCCAAGCAGCAGCTGGTCTTCAACAGCACCATGACAACGGTGAGATGAACTAACGAATCAGATGTATCTTGCTCACTGTGCTGACTTTTATTCAACCTGTCTCTCTCTACACCTGTGTGTGTCTTCATCTGTCTCTCAGGTATCGGAGCACTGTTCGGTCCTTTCATCCTCTCAGATGACCTGTCCAACCCCCACAGTGACCCCAGAGGTCAAAGTAAAAAGTGTCTGGTTTCAACTGGACAACGTCAGAGTACACTACGAGAGCATCAAGGTACCTGTCTGTCTGCTTGCCTGTCTGTCTGTCTGTCTACCTGTCTGTCTGTATACCTGTCTCTCTGCCGGCCTGTCTGTCTGTCTGCCTGCCTGCCTGTCAGTCTGTCTGTGTCTACCTCTCAGTCTGTCTACCTCTCAGCCTTTCTACCTGTCTGTCTGTCTGCCTGCCTGTCTACGTGTCTGTTTGTCTTTCTACCTGTCTGCCTGTCTGTCTCCCCAGGGGGGGCACCGAGAGTGGAAGGGTGAGCAAAGATACAGAGTCAAAATGGTCCTTCTCCTCCTGACTGAGTCAGACCTGAACCCACACACCTGAACCACGTTGATCTGATTCAGTGTGACGTCACTTCCTGAGGATATCAGTATGTCTGATGACCCTCCAAAAAAGCTCCAGAGAAAACAGATGCTGCAGAAGTCCATTCAGAAGCCTCCTGTTTTGAAGTGTCCTTCAGTATCACAGTAATGCAGTGATAGTTGTCTCAACATCTTGATACACTGCAGACAGGAGCTGATCACTGTTGATTTAGATGCTGTTAATCAGACCGTTTGACTACATGTGGTGGTGGATGACAAACCTCCCCTACAGACAGAGATCCAGGATGAATGGGGTTGTACAGGATCATCAGTTGTCTGTCTAATAGAGTAACCTGTCTGTCTCTGTCCACCTTACTGTCTGTCTCTCAGGGTAAAAGCTTCACTTATTATCCAAACCCAGAGTTTTTTCATCTGAATCGAGAAGCTCCAGATGCTCCGTATCGTTTCAAACCGGGAGGAGTGATCGCTGTGGAGGTAAACCGACAAAACCAGTTCACTGACGTCTGTTCAGGAACCCACACAATGAATCAGTCCTGATGTCTGCTCTGGTCTCTCAGGGTCAGGACTTGACCAGAGCCATGTCCAGACAGGAAGTAACCGCTCGTCTTGGAGATCAGGAGTGTGAGGTGAAAACTCTGGACAACACACACCTGTACTGTGAACCTCCAGAGATCCAACCAATGAGTGTGGACGACAGCAACGACCTGCCAAGTCTCAAGGTAGCACATTCATATACCCTACACCAGGATATACACAGAGCCATGAATACATAACCTACATGCTGATAAACACACAGAACACGTTTGTAACAGTGTCGAGCTTCCCACATGTATTTATATACACCTGATATACACCTGATATACATAACACATACAGTATACACACAGTCTGGACATCAGCAAGGAGCTGCCTCACAAGGTCATACATACAGTACATATGAATACACACACATGCATCAATATATAAAGATAGATATATGTGTCAGCTACAATGACACACACAAACACAAATGGTCTCTGTGAACAGAGCAAACAGACTTATTCTTCAGTGTTGAGAATCTTCACGCTCCAGCTCAGACTTAAGTTTTTAAACATTTTGTGTCTCCCTGTCTGTCTGTTTGGCTCCTCCCCATTTCCCTGTCTCCCTATCTCCCTGTCTGTCTCCCAGGTGTTTATGGGAAACCTGCAGGTGGACCTGGGAATGGTTCAGTACGACAGTGACTCTCTGCTGTCTCCCGTTCCATTGGCTGCTCAGATCGGTTTGGGGGCAGGAACAGGTGTAATCATCCTGTCAGTGCTAGTGGTCATCCTGATGTACAGGTAGGTACCCGTTTGTCTGCCTCCATGTGTCTTCAGAGTTCAGTTGCAGGTTGCAGGTTTTTACTGCAGTTTCCTGCTGTTTTACCTTCTGTCTTAGTGTTATTCAGTCTGTTTTACCAACAGTGCAGTGCAGTGCAGTTGGATACAGTGCCGTGCAGAACAATACAGTACAGTGCAGTGTGGTGCAGTGCAGTATGATATAGTGCAATACAGTGCATTGCAGTATAGTACAGTGCCATACAGTACAGTATAGTGCAGAGCAGTGCAGTGCATTACAATACAGTGCAGTATAGTATTACACAGTGCAGTGCAGCACAATGCAGTGCTGTCTAACTTTTCTAGACTGAGGCAACAAGTGACTGTATGTAATAAAAAGTGACTGTACAGATCGTTTACTCAAAAAGGTAGATATGGTTTGAAGTTTCCCTTTAGATCTTTTTCATCTTGTCTAAAACTTCAATGCTCCATTAGATGGAAATATTCTACATACTATCATTTAACTCTGGGATCTCCGCTGAAAGCTTTAATAAAGTTTAGACAATGTGTGTTTAGGTATCTGCTGGGGTTAATACATTTGCTTGAGAGGATATAATACTTTAATGTACAAGGAGTTTTTACTAAGCACAGCTGTTGTATTTCATGACTTGTGTTTCTGTGTGTGTGTGTCTGTGTGTCTGTGTGCAGGAGGAAGAGTAAACAGGCGCTCAGAGATTATAAGAAGGTTTTGCTGCAGTTGGAAACTCTGGAAATCAATGTTGGAGATCAGTGTCGCAAAGAGTTCACTGGTACACATACACACTCTGCAGACGGTCCAGTCGGACAGAAATGTCACCACAACATTCACTCAGCAGCTGATCTAAGATTTCGACTGCGTCACATGGTCTTCCTCAGTATATGTTGGCTGGAAAGCTGAGAATTAAAGTTCGTTCTTGAGTGTGGCAACCACAGTCAAGAATTAACTTTGGATCTCAGTTTCCTGAGTTCAACAGCACGATCTAAAATTTTAAGCGTAAAGAATCATGAATTTACATTAAATCAGTTTTCCCACTGGATCTCAGTTACTTCAGCTGCAATTTCTTCTCCTTCTTTGTGTAGACCTAATGACAGAGATGATGGACTTGAGCAGTGATGTTGGAGGACCAGGACTCCCCCTGCTGGACTACAGGACGTATGCAGAGAGAGTCTTTTTTCCCGGCCAGCAGACGGCACCATTGAGCCGCCAGCTGGATCTTCCAGAGTCCAGGAGGCAGACTGTGGAGCAGGGACTCCAGCAGCTCAACAACCTGCTCAACAACAGACTCTTCCTTACTAGAGTGGGTTGTTAGCCGAGGGGGCAGGAGGGTCATGTAATACTGATGTAACTTAGTGTCGGATCAGGAGACCTGCAGGTGATGTTTGTCTTCTGTCTCTGTCTCAGTTCATCCACACTCTGGAGGCCCAGCAGGGTTTCTCTCAGAGAGACCGGGGTTATGTTGCCAGTCTGCTCACCATGGCCCTTCATGATAAACTGGAGTACTTCACTGAGGTCATGAAGAGTCTGTTGCAGGACCTGGTCCAGCAGTATGTTGCCAAGAACCCCAAACTCATGCTACGCCGGTACGTAAAACAAACACACCTTAATCTGTGAAATGAGTCAACCTTAGAAAAGTTCAAACAACTACAGAGGAGTTGTTTCATCCTCAAACTGATTCATTTTCCAAATACCATCAGATTTTAGATCACAGCTTGAGTAAAGTCACCACAGATAGCCAGTCCTTCAGAAAGAGCCCGTTGGGTCTAAACACCATGGAAACATTTTATAGGCTTGAAAACATGTCAGTAAAAATCCTCAATCATCCAGGACAAACAGCATCTAGTTCACAGTAGCTGGACTTTCTTTAGATTCTTGATTCTATTGCCTTAGACTTAGCACATCAGGGTTTCTTGCTCTGCTTTCTGAAAAGCTGCACAGGCAGACTTGATGGTAGCTAGAAAACTACAAAGTCTAGCAACCCATCTATTTTCTGCTGCTTCAAATCCACCTAACGGACCCAATGGATTTCAAGGTCTCCCCAGACTAGATGTCATACGTAATCCCTCAAGTGTGCTCTGAGCTAAAAACCACACAACTGTTTGCTGGAGGCCACTACAGCAAAAAGTAAAGATGCAATGAGGTCACCAAATCTTCAGATTCTGTCCATGAAAGCCAAAAAGAGAATCTGTGATGATGGACAACCCTGGTCCAACACCCACTGAAAACCCCACAACATACCCTGGGGAGCACAGTCATAAGCCCTCTACAGCTCCACAAAACATATGTAGACTGGATGAACAAACTCCCATGATCCTTCTAGGATGTCTGCAAGACAAACATCTGGTCCACTGGTCCATGACTAGGAAAGAATCTACATCAAATCCTCTTGAATCTGAGGTTCAACAATCAGCCAGTGTTCATTCAGCAGCCTGACAGAGACTTTGCCATGGAGTCTGGGTTTTGTGAGCCTCCTTTTTTAAGAATGTGAACCACCACCCTGTGTTCTGCTTCTTTGTTTCCAACACCCACATAGAAAAGATGAATTGTATCTACCTCTGTTGTCTGGGTCAGCAGTCCTCCACTAACCAGCTTGAGAGGCCTCCTTCCTGAGCTTGACCGCCTCCTCCAACCACAACAATAAGTCAAAGTAGCCTTCAGCAAGCCTCAGATACCACGTCTGTATGTGGGAGCATCACCAACCAGGTCCCAAGGGTACAGGGTTTAGCTGACTCACACTGGGGCCAGTTTTGGGTCAGTGTTGGCATCCACAGTGGGACTGGGTGATTGCTCTGATCCAGTGTTTTCAGAAATTGGTGGATTGTAGGACTTTGATTTGGTCCTTAGTTCATCCAGACGGTCAGCTGATAACTAACCTGTCTGTCTGCTGGTCTGTCTCTCTCTTTCTGTCTCTCTCTCTCTCTGTCTGTCTACCTCTCTGTCTCTCTCTCTCTGTCTGTCTACCTCTCTGTCTCTCTGCCTGTCTCTGCCTGTCTGTCTGTCTGCCTGCCTGTCTGTCTGTGTTTCAGGACAGAGACAGTTGTAGAGAAGATGTTGACCAACTGGATGTCAATCTGCCTCTACTCCTTCCTGAAGGTAAATGCCCGTCTGTCTCTATATGTGTGTGTTTGCATTGAGCTGTGTCTGTCTCACCCTCACCTGTCTACCTCTCTACCTGTCTGTCAGGAGGTGGCAGGCGAGCCTCTCTACATGCTCTACAGAGCTATAAAGTATCAGGTAGACAAAGGGCCAGTTGACGCCGTGACAGGAAAAGCCAAACGAACACTTAACGACAGTCACCTGCTGCGAGAGGACATTGACTACTCTGCTATGGTAACCACAGCAACACACACATCTCACCTGTCTGTATTATTCATTCATATTCACCTTGACAATATAGGTAAGTCATAATGGACTACAGGTGTGCTGATTGGTATACGCAAACAATACATGAGTCATGTTTTTTTTTTACCCTTAACATGTCTACCTGTCTGTCTCTACCTGTCCCTCTGTACCTGTTTCTCTGTACCTGTCTGTCTCTCTCTACCTGTCCATCTCTCTGTACCTGTCTCTCTCTGTATCTGTCTGTCTCTCAGACCCTGACAGTCTTGGTGAAGAACGGAGTTGAGGTTCAGCCGTGTCCTGTTAAAGTGCTCGACACCGACACTATCACACAGGTACCTGTCTGTCTGATTACCACCTGCATGTCTTGTTGTCACCTATCTGTCTCTCACCTCTCTGTCTCCCTGTTTGCCTGTTTTCAGGTGAAGGATAAGATCCTGGATCAAGTCTACAGGGGAGCTCCGTTCTCTCAAAGACCAGCAGCTGATAGTCTGGACCTGGGTACACACACACACCTGTTTCACCTGTCTTACCTGTCTGTGGTTTGATTGACAGCTCATACTGACCTGTGTGTCTGTGTTTGATGTCAGAGTGGCGTTCAGGTCAGGCGGGTCACCTGACCCTGTCAGATGATGATGTCACAGCAGTGGTTCAGGGTCGCTGGAAACGGATCAACACGTTGCAGCACTACAAGGTAGCAACGACTGACCAATCACGCTGCGTCTTCACATTCTCTTATGTTCTCTCATGTTCTCCCATGTTCTCTTCATGTTCTCTCGTGTACTCTGTTCCTCTTTACGTCCTTGTTTACAATCCTTACTTCTCCTTCTTGTTCTTCAGGTTCCAGACGGTGCGACTGTGGCTCTGATTCCTCGTTCTCAGAACTCAGGTGGAGTTGGAATCAATCAGGTGTTCCAGACTGGAGAGAGTAAGACCATAACACGTCCAAACAGTCTAGAACTTATAGAACATGTGAAACCAGAACCAGAACAAAGAGAGCCATGTAGAACATCTAGAACCCAGAGTCAATGCAAAGAACACCATTAACAACTATAAAGAGAAATATATAGAACATATACAATAACAGACCATTTTAGAACATTTAGGGTATCAAAAATACACAGAACCCAGACCCAACACAACACGGTTTCTGTGTGTGGTTGTCATAGAAACACCAATGCTGGAGGGTGAGGAGGAGGAGGGTCTTCGTCTGTGGCACCTGGTGAAGAGCAGCGAAGATCCTGAAATTCCAAAACACAGAAAGAGCAGCATGAGGGAGAGAGAGCGAGCCAAGGCCATACCTGAGATTTACCTGACCAGACTGCTGTCCATGAAGGTAACACACACATTAATATCTGAGATTTACCTGACCAAACTGCTGTCCATGAAGGTAACACACACACAAAATTGCAACATCTCTCTCTCTCTCTCTCTACCTGTCTCTCCCTCTATCTCTCTCCCTCTACCTAGGGGACGCTGCAGAAGTTTGTGGACGATGTCTTTGTGGCCATCCTCAGTACGAAGCGTCCTCCTCCAATTGCCGTAAGATTCTTCTTTGACTTCCTGGACGACATGGCTGAGAAACACGGCATTGACGACCCCGAGACGGTTCACATCTGGAAGACCAACAGGTAAGACATACACCTGATCATCTGACATACTTGGTCACCTGTCTGTCTCTCTGACCTGTCTGTCTGTCTCTAGTCTCCCTCTCAGATTCTGGGTGAACATCCTGAAGAACCCTCAGTTTGTTTTGGATGTTCAGGTGACCGACAGCATCGACGCCGTCCTGTCAGTCATTGCTCAGACCTTCATCGACTCCTGCACCACCTCTGAACACAAAGTGGGACGGGTATGATCTGTGTGTCTCTCTGTCTGTCCCGCTGTCCGTTATAGCATGTAGTATTTGGCTCTACACATATTAACTCTATGTGGATCTCATAATATATTTCTGTCCATTCAGGACTCTCCTGTCAACAAGCTGCTGTACGCCAGAGAGATCCCCCGATACAAACAGCTGGTAGAGAGGTGAGGCGCCTTCCTGTCAGGGTGCACTAAGTTTTAACATGTACAGTTCAGTTGCTGTGGAAACACGCTCTCTGGTTTACAGTTACTAAAGAAACACACTCATACCATAGAAATGCCCATAGAAATGTGTTCACTAATGTCACATCATGTAAACTGTGTGTGTGTGTGTGTGTGTGTGTGTGTGTAGGTACTACAGTGACATCCACAGCGCTGCGTCAGGCTGTTACCAGGAGATGAACTCCACTCTGACTGAACTCTCAGGGGTCAGTGAACTCAAACCTGAACTACAGATGTGACTGAAGAAAACAACTTCACATCAGCATGAACTTCTCTGTGTCTGTTTCAGAGTTTCGCCTCGGAGATGAACAGTGTTGTTGCTCTTCATGAACTCTACAAGTACATTAACAAATACTATGACCAGGTAAAACACACACACACACACACACACACACACACACACACACACACACACACACACACACACACACACACACACGTAGGTCATGTGACCTGACATCACCACAGGTATCAGATTGAAAAACATGATCTTTAGAGCAAGGTTGGGTTCAGCATCATCTTTAGCCTTCTTGTCCTGAGAGCCGATGAGTTTACACTTCAAGAGCCTTTCATGGTCTGACACCTGCCTGCATTAAAGGTGTAATGTGTAAGATTGTGCTACTTGCTCCACCTTCATAGGGGGCAGCATTTCACCTCCAGGTAATTATGTTGTTGTTTTCCCCATGTTCTTTATAATTTATTATTTATATGTGCATTTATTGTTGATTGTTAAAATTGTTGATAGCACTGAAACAAATTATGAGTACTTGTAATATAAACAGTATGTTTTTATTTACCTATAAAAATATTAAGGCAAGGGGATTCTGCATGACACATGTGTGTCAGGCTCTAGCAGCATGAGGAAGAGATGATGACATCATCACAAAGGCAGAATCAGAAAATAAGGTTCATTGCCAGGTAGTTTTTTACTTACAAGATATCTGGCTTGGTGTATGGTGAAGTATCCAATTAACACATTTATAGGAAATAACAATAAAAAGATAAAATACTGCAACAGTCAAAAAGATAAATATACATACGTTTTCTTCTTTTCTTTGCCATTGAACGCGGTTTCTTGTCGGAGCGGTCCTTCTGGACGGAGATAAAGATCGCTTTCTAGGCGCTCCAGCTATCTCTGCGTTTCTGTGATGCTAGTAGGGAACTTTTTTTTTTAAGTTGGGAGCTGTTGCGTAACTTCAAGCTCTGGAGGAAGTTGTTCTTCTTCATGGGACTGAGGGCAGACTAGAAGCTACACTGACTCACACAGCATCTAGTGTCATAAAGTGGTATTACAACACGGTGCGGGATGCAGCTAGTTGGTTAGCATTCTCATTTCAGTCGATATCACTGAAATACAAAAGATGGAGTCCTTGGTCATGACATCATTACTGTGGCTCCTTCACATACTATTGATAGTGTTAGTTCATTTGAACATTTTAAGCTAAAATTCAGATCTTACACATTGCACCTTTAAAGCTGCTGCAGCCATGTGACTCCTTTGGTCACTGGCTGTTCCAGGACTAAGACTAAAGAAGACTGAGACTCTGAGACTCTCAACCACTGAGATCTGTGATAGACACTTTAAAGCACTAACAGATCTACACCTGTCTGTCTCTGTACGTGTCTGTCTCTACACCTGTCTGTTTCTGCACCTGTCTGTCTCTGTACCTGTCTCTCTCTAAGATCATCATGTCTCTGGAGGAGGACAGTTCGGGTCAGAAGATGCAGTTGGCCTACCGACTGCAGCAGGTTGCTGCCCTGGTAGAGAACAAGGTCACTGACCTCTGACTCCATCAACCAGCCCACAGGAAGAACTGGCCTCTGATGACCTCTGACCCCTGGAGACACTTGGAGCCCCACTGAGGAGGAGGAGAGGATGAAGAAGCTCCTTCAGCAGCTCTGAGAGACTGAAATTCTGGAAACCATCGTACTCCTGTTAACATTGTGTCTTCCTGCTGTGTGTGTGTGTGTGTGTATGTGTGTGTGTGTGTGTGTGTGTGTGTGTCCGTGTCCGCTTGGGATATAATATACAAGGTTTTTATAGTTGGACTCAGGATGTCTTTAGATCCCTTCACTCTGCAGCAGCAGCAGCTGAACCTGCTTGACCTGAAACTTAATCAAACCAAAACTTAACCAGACTTAAACCAGACCTAAACCAGACTTAAACCATACTTAAACCAGATGTTAGACCCATCTGACACCAGTCTGTGATGTAAAATGACAATCTAACCAATCAGATCAGGGAATATCGTCTCCTGCTGCCTTGCACTACATTTCCCAGAGTTCCCTGCTGTGCTGTTCTGCTGTCTGTCAAGAGTCAAAAAGCACAATTGTAATAGTTTTTACTGATGACATGTATTGATCTGCTGGATGTTTTTTATCGACAGTGTTGTTGCCTTCACTACTGAAACCAGCGTTGTGATGCAGGTCTGCCCCCTCCCCCCACATGTGGAGGTTTGACTCAATGCAATAACAGAATCAGGGAGTGGTTTGAAAACACTGTTTCAGTCTGATTCCAGTTTCTGGTCGTTTTTTAACAACACAAGCTGGAGCTAAAAGTTCTAGTACAACCTCAGGATCAGGCCTGCACTGGTTCCCAGTCTCTCCGGTCTTCCTCAGTTCCAGGTTGAGTCCAGATTGACTCACCAGGGTTCTCAGGTTTGGATAATTCAAGCTACAAGCACTGAATTTTTATTTATCGACCAATCAGCGTGTAGCAGATGAGTGGCTTGAAGAAAGATGGAAGAGCATCATTCAGTGATGCTTGTTACTATGGAGACCATAGTGCGATTGAGGTCACCTTTTATTGAGTCTCTTTCAAATTGAGTTTGATTGTGCTTCCTTGGTTCCCTTTTAGCTTGGGTCTGGTTGTCCTTGGCTCCAGTTCAGCTTCATTAGACCTCATTTGGATTGGGTTCAATGGTCCTTCTGGTCCCAAGTAGATTTCCAGGTCATGCCTGAGTGTCCCTCCTTCCTTGTGTTCCAAACTCTATGGATCAGATTTGAATGACTAACCTTGGGTCTCATGTGGATCTTCAGTATTGTCATGTCAGGTCTGAGAAGGGTTTCCATTGGTCATTGAAGGCCTCTTGTCTGCAGCATGTTCAGGATTAGGTGGATTTTCTTTAGGTCCATTCAGGTTTGGATTCATTGCTTGTTGGTCCAGTCTGGTCTAGGTCCAGTTCATGGGTTTTTATTTTTATGAATGAGTTGATCTCATATTCGGGTAACATAAGTCATTCAACATGTAACTTCAACAAGCCCAGTCTGATCATCAAACCGACCAATCAGAGCCAGACTCTGTAGCTGAATGATCAGGGAGGTTTAACTTTCTGATCGAGGCAGGTCACCTGAAATGAACTGACGATGATGACATACTGTTTTCTCTGCTCAAATAAAACCTGAACTTACAAGATAAAAGGAGGTTGATAGCTGGAGATCTACCTGAACTGCTGAAACAGGTAGTTTGACTGAAGTTAACTTGCTGGTTAAGTTTTTGTATGTAAAATAAAAAGTTTAGAGACAAGAAACTAGAATCAGACTGAACATTTTAAGTCGAACCTGCTGAATGAACAAAGAGCTGAAGAACGATCAAAACAATCTGAAATCTGGGGGTTTAAACTGTGTGTGTGTGTGTGTGTGTGTGTGTGTGTGTGTGTGTGTGTGTGTGTGTGAGAGAGAGAGAGAGAGAGAGAGAGAGAGAGAGAGTCACTAACTTATTGTGTGTACATACTGTAAGTCCTATTTATACCTATTTATCCCAGCTGTGCCTTCACTCTTGCAGCTAGGTGGCACTGTCTGTCTGTTCTGACAGCAGCCTTATTGAGCATGTGTCCCAGAGCATCATGGGAACATAAATTCATTTTAATGTTTAACTTTTATTGAACCAGGGAGGGAAAACAACAAACCCTGCATTATGTACTAATACCCCACACTGAACCCAGTCTAACACTGAACATATATTACAGAACCAGCTAGCATAACATTATGCTATATTACAGAACCAGCTAGCATAACATTATGCTATATTACAAAACCAGCTAGCATAACATTATACTATATTACAGAACCAGCTAGCATAACATTATGCTATATTGCAGAACCAGCTAGCATAACATTATGCTATTTTACAGAACAGCTAGCATAACATGCTATATTATAGAATAGCTAGCATAACATTATGCTAGGCTAGTCTCAACTCATGGTTCACTTCTGGAGTTGAGATTGTTGTGTCAGCTGCTGTTTCTGTCATCAACAATGATCTGTCAAGTTCAAATGCTACATGAGGAGTTACTGGTAGCAACAACTATATAAGCTGTTAGAGGTCTGTAATAAATTATATTGAGCTATGATTGCATTGACAAGAGGTTATGGTTATGTAACATCCTTAAACAAAGATGGCTCCTTACAGCCTGCGTAATGTCAGATATGTGAGCTGTTTGAAACTAGCTGCTTGTAGAAAGCATAAGGTATCAACAAACACCCTGATTAAATGTATATTAAAACAAGCAGCTAGTGAAAAACAGCTAGCTGTTTGTAGTTGGTAGCATGTGAGATTTTATGAAACATTTAGCATAACATCTGGCATGCTAATTGTTTGAAATGTTTGTTTATCCTCAGGCTCAGCTCAATACAAACATGGAGGTTGTTTGTTTAACCTGAACACAACCTGAGACAAAAACTGATGAATTTTGTCAGTAGAATAAAACTAATTTCACTGAATTAACAGAGCACCCATCTGAACACTGGGCTCAGGTGTGTGTAGCTGATGGTTTAACAACATGAGTTGTACAGGTATGTTATATTTTTGGCTCTGATCTCAGCCAGCTGAACCATCTGACAGGCTGAATCCAAATATCCTCAAATCATTAACAGCAATAATAAAGTCAAAATCACTGATTTCAGTCTTGGTTAACTTGGCGACACCTGTAGTTTCTGGTGGTAACAGCAAATACAATTTAGCACTAAAGCTCCCAGAATTATGGGGGCATAAATAAGTCAGAGAATAAACTGCCTGTCTCCATCTTTGTGGGAGCAGCTGTGGTCTGTTTGATGCTGCACATGGCCTGAGTCTGAACAACAGCACAGTGACAGGAGCTGATTACCTGGCTGACCAGGTGGAGCTGTGCAGCTCTTCGTCAACTCACTCTGGCTGCTCCTGACTCTTCATCACTCCCTGCAACATTTCAAACTGATCTTAAAAATTGATATTGTTCTGTTTTGTACATGTATTTTCAACAGAACAAGTGCTAAGCCTATTGTCAAACACATTGCATCTTCTGTGAACACTTCATAATAAAAGTTGGCTCCTGTATTACTAGTAAAATGCTGTTAATGTGAACCTGCAACAGGAGGAAATGATCAGTGTCATCAGCAGCAGCTTAACACAGACACATAAATATTACAACACTTTGATCAGAGGGTCATAGACTCAGTCACCATAGTTCCCTCATCAGACTTCACTTTAAATCAGAGAACAGGATCATCAGAGATGATGTCGTTATGATGTTTCAGTGTTGTTTCAGCATGAAGAAACAGTTCCCACAAGAACCTGGACATAGATCTGATCTGATCTTACAGTTTAACCCCCCAACCTAACTGTCTGCAGGACTCAGTCTGTGAGTCAAGACATTCAAGGTTTGGATTCATCCTGGAGATTTTTGTGTTTCCATGGCAACAGTTTGTTGTTTTACCTGTTGGGGTGTTTTCTCTGTGTGGATGACACTGTACTATTTAGTCTTCATTTGAAAATATGCTTCATGGGGACTCTCCTGGACTTATGTTTTTAAGTGTAAATGGACTCTGACTGAAGACTGAACCCACCAGGCAATAAATAAACAAACAGACTCTGACTGTCTGACTCAGAAACCTGAACCAGGTCTTCGTATCTGAACGATCTTCCTGCAGCTTCTCTACGTTTCTTCTTCTTCTGGTATTTCTGATTATCGCTCTTTGATCTTCTCTGTGTTTTTGCCTTGCGTGTTTTTTGAGTCTGTGTTTGACCCGTAGTTGTAGTTCTCTGATCAGATTAGACTTTGCATGCGTGTGATGATGATGATGATGATAATTTACGGTGCTTCTTCAAGCTAATTTGTTATTTTGTTTTTTAAATGAAGACGGGAGGCGGTGTTTAAACTCTGCTGCGTCGCTGATGATGTATATCTATCTCTATCTGGTCTCTGTACAGTTTTCTAATCTTCTGGAAGTAATGAAACAGATCCTCAGCTCTGATTGGGCGAGCTGTTTGTTACTGAAATGTTTTTTCTACAAGGGAATAAAAACTTTAACATGTTTGTACAAATAAATCCAGGATCAGTTGATGAAGTAATGAAGCACAGACTGCTTTTCTATTGACCCTGTACAGTTTGCTAACAGTGTGTAAATGTTCCTGTAAATACCTGTCTGATGATGCTGATGATGATGGTGAATACGACTCCGTCTGCAATGGAAATGTGTTTTTATTGTGAAATGGCAGAAGGCCAAACACAGTTTGTATCATGTAAAAATAAAGTTATAATTTTAACAGTTTGTGTTGTTTGGAGTTTTAGTTCAGATCAGGATCAATATGATCAAAGACCAGGCTGATGTTCACTGTCAGCTGCTGCCGTTTTATCTTCTTGAAGATCCAAAAATATCTGTTGATGTCACAAACATACTGATGATGTCACACATGTTATATCTTGACACTGTTTTTATTGACTATTTATCTTTAATCTTGATAATAACTTCTGCTCAGTCATCCTCTTTCTTGACTTCAGTACATTATTGACAGTGATGCCATGTTTCTAGTTTCACTAGAATAGAGGATGTAGCTACACTGGTTCAACAATAATGGCCATGCTTCATACAGATATCTTTCAACATTTATTTCTCTCCCTCTCGATGACATCAGAAGACACTGTGAAAACTACCAAAAATAAAAACATGAAAGTTGAAGCACATGTCTCTCTGTTGTTTCAACTTCTCATTAATGTTCATATAAGCATGTTAATTACAATGTACACAAATATAAATCCAATACAATTACTGTGTGTGCCTCTTGAACAATGTGCAGAAAAATGTCAATTTGGAGCTGCATATTCCTCCTCTGCCACCATAGTGTTCTGCGCTGACCCACAATGCCATGGTCATACACCTAGCCAAGTTCTGATCATGTGACTCTTACTAAAAAAAAAACAAAACCTTACATGAAGGGCATCGAATTTACAACCAAACTCGTATATTCTTAATCAAACCATCCATCAATGTTACCCTTTTCATATCGTATTTATTACATTAATTTAATTACCTTATGTACTTAAATTATCATGAATTTATATGACACATATGAAATGTAGAAAATGAACAATTAAACCTGTCTCTCAGACAGTTATAGAGGAGTTTGTCTCATGTCAGTGATGACATGTTTTTAGTTTCACTAGAATAGAGGAGTTTACAGGAAGTGTTTCTAACTCTGACTTATTATTATATTTATGAGAACTTTTAGTTTGCAATCTGCCCCCCTCCCTCCTTACTGTAGATCCGCCACTGGTCCCAGTTTGGGTCCAGTAGCAGCGTGCCCGGTGTTTGCGCATGCGCGCAGCCCGGTGTCCGGTGTCAGACTGTCAGCAGCTGTTGAGACCATGAACGGTAGGACCGACACAGCAGAGAAAACACACCCAGAATAACCGAGTGGTCCCGGTGCGGACCCAGTACAGACCAGGTCCAGAGGTAGAACACGACCGGGCCGGATACTGCAGGGAGCCGCTGATCTGCAGCTGGAGCTAACAGGCTAACTGGCAGCAGACCGTCAGCTGTCATAACGGGGCTAACGGGCTAACAGGCTAACGGACAGGCCACTGACTCGTGTTCACCACGCTGCACTGCACTCATACGTCCTGACCCGGGTTAGTTTGTGGACCTCCTGAACCGTCTCCAGCCGGACTGTCTCCGGTTCACCGCCGGTCTCTGGTGAAGTTCAGCCGGCTAACGGAGGCTAACGAGCTAACTGTCAGAGTACCGTCAGTCCAGCCGAGAGAGAGAGACCGCTTTGACCCGTTTCCGTTTGAGGAGCAACAATGTTGATAGGTAAAGATTTCCTGGCCCGGGTCGGTGTCCCGGGTCAACTGTCAGTGCTGTCGGTGCAGTCTGTATCTGATTCAGTGTCGCTGAACTCTGTTAAGCTAGTTAGCATTAGCTAACGGTACCAGGCTGTGACTGCTGCTGCTGTCAGACACACACACACACACACACACACACACACACACACACACACACACACACACACAACACACATAACGGGTTTGTGGTTCAGGGCTTCACTGCCAGACTCCGTTGAAAAAATCTTGTATTAACAGGTGATTACCTTCAGCAGCTAGAGTATCAAACACTAATGTCTTCTGGTAAATTCCTCCAGATGACACATGTGTTTGCTTCCTTGTGGTGGCTGCCACACTGAGCGGTGTGTTAACACAATCACATCTGAACAGTTAAGATTTTTGCCTTGTGTGTGGTTTATGTAAGTGGTAATGTATGTTTGAACAGTTGTGAATGTGTGCTTTAATATTTTATGTTTTTGTTGTAATGAGGACCTGTGGTCTGAAATTTTGTTAATTGAACTTTATGCCAGAGTAATAATGTTTCTGTTTGGGTGTCATTGAATGTCTAAGCAGATAAATTTACTAATGTTGAAGGAAAATGTAGAAGTGCAGTTTGGTGTAAAAATAAAGAGTGACTCTTCATAAGTCTGTAAAGGGGTTAACTCATATTTCAGGAGTTATATTCCTGTTAATCAAATCCCTACATTTCCAGATTTTTGTGATGATCTGTTAGTGTGACTGAATGTGACTCTGACTCTGTGGCTCCTCCCCTTAGCAGCGGTCAGTGCTGGAACTGGAAACTCTGCTGCCACCGGGAAGAAACACCGGCGCAGAGGCAAGAAGCACCGGAGAGTCCGGACCGACGAGCAACGGTGAGAAACCAGCAGAGATGTTAGATGAGACTTACTGATTACCCCAAACATACACACCACACTCAGAGGCTATATTTAGCAGTGTGTGTGTGTGTGTTTGACTTCTTGTCTGTCTTTGTCTCTTTGTGCAGTCCACTGATCTTTACCGTCCTGATGGTTCAGGACCAGGTTCCTGTAGGGTTGTGCTGATGATCTCTGTGATTAGCTGATAGGATGATGTTACTATGATAAGATCGAGCAGCTCTAAGTTCATGTGTCGCTGATTGGCCTGCTGACCTTTGACCTGAGCTGAGGTCTAATCAGACATAGAAAACATTACAAAAAACTAGAATATATCTACATCCATTAATTATCCTGTAATTAGCCCCAAATCTGGGGTCCAGCCCATCACAGTGACTAGGTCCTGATTTCCCTGACTCTGGATCTTAATTGGAAAAATTGACGTCAGTTCAAGAGTTCAAATTCAGAGGTGGTTTTTGTGATTTAATGCTCATTAAGGAGGTGGTACCATCTAAAGACCCCCTGATATATCACATTCTATAGTGGGAGGTCAGGGCTGTCAGCTGACTGCTGGACTACTGGGTAATATCCACTCCAAACTGGAGTCTCTGCTGACAGGGGGAGATGGCTGTCTGAAGGTGGTCTCACCTGTTTAGTCCCTCTTCTCTTCATCTGCTGCCTCTGGCTGATCCCATCAGAGAAACAGCTGATCTCTATAAAGGCTCAGATGGTCTATGGCATGTTTACATGGCATAAAGGGAAGAGCTGTGCCTGCCAGAATAAACTAAGGGCAACAACATCTACTGCACTCTGGGTTTAAACAGTTCATGAAGAAGACTGCGTGTCATGGTAACGACTCAGTGATGACATAAAACTGCTGGAGTCTTTGATGAATGATACACACCTGTTCACTAAACAAGATCAGCGTGTAAATGAAACAGCAAGGCTAACAGTTTCCCCCTGCTCCCAGTCATTGTGCTTAGCTAACTGGTGTCCTGCTTACAGAAACAGGTTTGGTGCTGGGCCTGCAGAGACTCAGCTCCAATAATAGACCCAGAGCTTGAATCATGATCCCACAACACACACACTCTTCAATCTATTTCAGTGCAGTCGAGTCTGACCCCAACAATGTCCATGACTCAGAGCAGCAGAGTGTGTGTGTGTGCGCTGAGTGAACATGGTTAGAATGACCGTGTTCAGACTGGAAACATTGCTATATGTGTGTATGTAGTACATGTGCTCAGGTGTGTGCGTGTTGTACAGGTGACCAGGTGTGTGTGTTGTACAGGTGTTCAGGTTGTGTATGTTGTACAGGTGTTCAGGTGTGTGTGTGGTCCAGGTGTGTGCGTGTTGTACAGATGTTCACTTGTGGATGGGAATCAAGAACCAGATCCAGTTGAGAACCAGTTCTATCGGAATTGTATGCCCCTCCCAGTTTATCGATTCCTGATGTTGTGTCATCACCACAGACATTCAGACCTGAAGAGCGCCAGCTTCAGGCCCTTCCTGTTGAGCTCTGATGTAATCGCTTATTTTTGTCTTTTTCAGGCTGGAGGACCTCAGTGACCTTCAGAGTAGCTTTCCCACCACACCAATGCAGACTTGCCCCCAAAGTACTCCAAAAACCATCACATCATCACATCCAGAAGATCTCCATGAAACCACCTCACCAGCCCAACAAAATCTTCTACGTACCACCCGGCAGTCCCAGAGTGTCCCCAGAACCTCCTCCCCACCTCTCCAGGACACACTCGAGACCACATCCACCCTTCTAGATGCAATAGATGTAGCACCCCTGGTACCTCCTGGAACTACCCTGTTAATTGCCCCGCAGCCCCGTTCAAACACGCCCTTGACAGCACCATTGACTCCTCAGATCTTCACCCAATCACCCCCTGCCACATTTCAAAGTCCCACCCACAGTCCCAGCCAATCACCGCCAACTGTAAACGAAAATATTACCCAGAATTCCTCCAGATTGCCTCACAGAACTCTTCAGACTGTTAATCCAAGTGTTTCTGAGACAGATCCCTTGGAATCACCTCCAATCCTACTCCACAATGTTACCCACAATGCACCTCAATCACCTTCATTGTCTATCTCACATCCTGTCAAAGCCCCTCCTAGCCCTCCATTAAGCCCCTCCCACCCTGACCCCTTGCTGCTGACGTCAGTGACCTTCACCTCCAGTGCCTCCTCCCACCTCTACTCCCCACTCTGCTCCTCATCTGCCTCCTTCCTCCGCTCCCTCGACTCTCTGGGTCCTCCCATTGGTCTGCCTCCTATGATGTCATCAGCTACCCATCAACTGACCACACCCTCTCCGGTTCTGAGTCCGCCCCCTCCTGAGTTAACCCCGCCCCCTGCTCAGCTGCTGGGCTCAGATGATGAAGAGCAGGAAGACCCGTCAGACTACTGTAAAGGTCAGTGTCTCTGACTTTGTCTCTGACTCTGACTCTGACTCTGTGTCTGACTTTAACTTGGACCCTGATTCTGACTCTGTCTCTGTGTCTGACTCTTTCTCTGACACTCTCTCTGTCTCTGTCTCTGTCTGACTTTGTCTCTGTCTCTATCTCTGTCTCTGACTCTATCTTTGTCTTTGTCTCTGACTCTGACTTTGTCTCTGTCTCTGACTTTGACTTTTACTCTGACTCTGTCTCTGACTCTGACTCTGACTCTGACTCTGTCTCTGTCTCTGACTCTGTCTTTGTCTCTGACTCTGTCTTTGTCTTTGTCTCTGTCTCTGACTCTGCCTTTGTCTTTGTCTCTGTCTCTGTCTCTGACTTTGTCTCTGTCTCTATCTCTATCTCTGACTCTGTCTTTGTCTCTGTCTCTGTCTCTGTGTCTGACTTTGTCTCTGTCTCTGTCTCTGTCTCTGTGACCTCCAACCTCCTCCTCCTCTCAGTCACCTCCTCCTCTCAGTAGTGTTGAGGTCTCCAGGACTCCACCTAGTGAGTCCAGGAGGCTGAACTCTGAGGGATACCCATCGATACCCCACTGTGTTTTGTAATGTCTGTTGTGTTTGTGTTGCAGGTGGTTACTACCCGGTGAAGATTGGTGACCTGTTTAATGGGAGATACCACGTGGTCAGAAAACTGGGCTGGGGACATTTTTCTACTGTTTGGCTCTGGTGGGATCTGCAGTACGACACACACACACACACACACCAGTCACACATCAATCACACATCAATCACATACATCAATCACACACACATATCACACCTCTTCTGACTCTCTGTGTGTGTTTAGGAAGAAGCGTTTTGTGGCATTGAAGGTGGTAAAAAGTGCTCCACATTACACTGAGACGGCTCTGGATGAGATCAAATTGCTCAGATGTGTAAGACACACACACATGCACACAAACACAGACTGGTAGCATGTCCTGAGATGAGGAGACTGAACTGATTCATTGTTTCCAGGTGAGGGACAGTGACCCCTCTGACCCCCACAGAGAAACCATCGTCCAGCTGATCGATGACTTCAAGATCTCTGGAGTCAATGGAGTCCGTATCCTTCATCGCCTGTCTGTCTGTCGTTCTGTCCACCTGTCTGTCCACTTGTCTGTCCACTTGTCTATATTTTACTTCCTCAGCCTCTCCTAGATGTCTGTCTGTCTACCTGTCTGTCTACCTGTCCACCTGTCTAGTGGATCATCAAGTCGAACTACATGGGACTTCCTCTGCTGTGTGTGAAGACCATCATCAAACAGGTAACACCTGTGACTCTGACATCACCTCAGGTACCTGGAGTTCACCTCAGCAGTCACTGGGATGGTGATGGAAATTGAGAAATAGGTCTAGTTGAGAACTGGTTCAAATTGGTCTGGACCACTGGAATCGCGTTCCTTTCATTAGTGCCGGGTGGCCATACAGGCTGCGTAAAGCCCCGCTAATTATATAAGGCCCTGCAAATTACACAAGGACCATGCAAATTACCAAGCTGGACAGTGTCTCTGTCTGTCTGTAACGAGCTGTCTCTGTCTCTGGTTAATGGCCAGAAACATCTTTGAATCAGTATTTTATATTGAAGTAGAATCACCTCCTCATGTTGTTTCCTCCACCAATCAGTCAAGTTTCAGGAAACACAGTGTCTTCTTCTTGAGTTACAGTGTTGAATAATGGCCAGAAGTCTTTTTGCTGAACATTATTATGTCAATGTATGTAACTTCCATTTTATCCTTACAGACATTTGAGTTAAATTGTGTCATAATTAGTGAATGGATTTGTGAGTTATGGACAAAAATGTGTTATGTGAGGTCATCGCAACCTTGATCTTTGACATTTGACCACCAACATTGAATCAGTTCGTCTTTGAGTCCCAGTGGACATTTGTGCCAAATTTGAAGAAGTTCTATTGAGCTGTTCCTGAGAGGTCACGTCCATGAGAGTGACATGGACAGAGTCATAACAATGGACCTGAAGCAGCCAATTAATAATTAATTAAATAATGATAAAGCTGCAGCCATAGTCAATAGGCTAAAATTCACATTGTGTAGCTAAAGCTAATTGTATTATTGTGAGGACTGGACTAATAACCGGTGTTATTGTTATTATGTTAATGTAAATATTCACTGATCTGAGGATTGTATAGATGTAGTTTGTGTGTAGGTCAACAGATGGAGCCAGCTGTTTTAAAGGAGGGACACAATCAATAATCAGACCGAGAAGCAGAATCGATAATGAAATTGTTATCAATAAAATTCAATTCCCATCGTTGGGCTGTGTCTGCCACCAGGTGCTTCAGGGTCTGGATTACCTTCACACCAAGTGTAAGATCATCCACACCGACATCAAACCAGAGAACATCTTACTGGATGTAGACGAGGTCTACATTAGGAGGTTGGCAGCTGAGGCCACCGTCTGGCAGAGAGCTGGAGCCCCACCCCCCTCAGGATCATCAGGTGAGGAGCAGTGATGTGATTGATCAGGTAGACATGACCGATAGGATTGACCTTATTGTTTCTTTAGACAGTTTTGGTGGGACTGAGACTGAACACGACAGAACACATCTTCATACTATCGCATACAAGAAGTCAGAACTGAAGTCCCAGACCATAGACCTGACCCTGTCTGTCTGTAACCTGTCTGTCTGTAGTCTGTCTACCTGTCTGTCTGTAGTCTGCGTGTCTATTTGTAACCTGTCCGTGTGTCTCTCTGTCTGTCTTTAACTTGTCTAACTGTCTCTCTGTCTGTCATCTGTCTGTCATCTGTCTGTACCCTGTCTGACTGCCTGTCTCTCTGTCTGTCTATAACCTGTTTGTCTCTCTGTCTGTCTATAACCTGTTTGTCTCTCTGTTTGTCTGTAACCTGTCTCTCTCTTCCATCTTTTCTTACCCCTGTTTCTGATTTTTTTCCTGTCTCTCTCTCTCTCTGTAACCTGTCAGTCTGTAACCCATCTGTCTTTCTGTCTGTAGCCTGCCTCTCTCTGTAACCTGTCTGTCTCTCTATCTGTCTTTAACTTGTCTCTCTCTCTTCCATCTTTTCTTTCTTCTGTTTCTGATGTTTTCTTCCTGTCTCTCTCTCTCTGTAACCTGTCTGTCTGTGACCTGTCTTTCTGTTCCACTCCTCCATCTTTTCTTTCCTCTGTTTCTGTTTCCTCCTGTCTCTCTCTCTGTAACCTGTCTGTCTGTCTGTAGACTGTCTGTCTGTTCCACTCTTCCATCTTTTCTTTCCTGTGTTTCTGATGTTTTCTTCCTGTCTCTCTCTCTCTCCCTGTCTGTCTGCCTCTATGTGTCTCTCTCTCTAGTTAGCACGGCTCCCAGGGATCTACAGGTAAGTGTCCAGATGTGATGCCTGCTGTGTTCTCATTGGTTACTGCCATTTCAGATTGAGAACCTGTTTCAGGTGTTTGTAACCAGCTGTGACCAGCATTGTGCAGCTAGAGAGGAGACACCATGCATGATGTCACCCCCCCAACGCTGCAGTGTTAGCAACACAAAGTGTGTGTGTGTGTGTGTGTGTGTGTGTGTGTGTGTGTGTGTGAGCACTTAAACAGCTGAGTTACTGTGTTCCCTAATCATCCTGTGTGCGTGCGTGTGTGTGTGTTTGTGTGTGTGTCTGTGTCTGTGTGTGTGTAGGTTGGTAAACTGTCTAAGAATAAGAAGAAGAAATTGAAGAGGAAAGCGAAGCGTCAGCAGAGACTGTTGGAAGAGAGACTGATAGATATACAGGTACTTTACTGTACTACAGTACTGCTACTGTACTACAGCGATATTTACTGCTACTATTACTACTAATACTGCAGTTAGACAATCAGAATAATTCAGGAAATGACAAATGACCCCTTCAAAATAAGTTAAATTTTTCTCCTGTGTTCAGAAGATGGAGGAGGAAGAAGGAGTGTATCAACCTGAGGACACAGACACACACTGTGAGTACACACTGAAACACACTGATACACATTGTGAATACACACTGAAACACACTAACACACACAGATGCACACTGTAAGTACACACTGATAAACACCGACACACGCAGTACATGCAGTACTCACTGTACATGCAGTATTCACAGTACTCACAGTACATGTAATTATAAACACAGTGTTTGTGTTCTCAGGTTCTCTCGTTATCAACGGCAACACCATCTGTTCCACAGCCAACAGTAAAGCCAGTCCAGAGTCCACCTGCTCCTGGCTGGAGGACAGGTGTAATGGCCACGCCCCTGGTCGTTTCTCCAGCCCTGCGTCTGGCCTATCAGGTTTCTCCAGTTCTGTGATGTCAGCGACGTCTGAATCAGCACTTTCTACTCAGTCAGGATACTCGAGTGGGCGAGACGGTGAGAAAACAGATACATGTAGACACAAAGGTAACACAGCTGACACACCTGACATACCTGAAAAACTTGACACACTTGACACAGCTGACAGACCTGACAGACTTGACACATCTGACACACCTGACACACCTGAAAAACTTGACACACCTGACATACCTGACACACCAGACATACCAGACACACTTGACACACTTGACACACCTGACATACCTGCCCTCTGTCTCCTCAGTGTTCAGTGCGTCAGACTTCGTCCTCAGTCCTCTGGATCCTCAAAATGCGGACAAACTGAAAGTGAAGATCGCTGATCTGGGAAATGCATGCTGGGTGGTGAGACACCTTCATAATCTCCTCCTCCTTTTTCTCTCTGTAATTTTCATCTTATGAACAATCAGACTTCTCTCTCTCTCTGTCTCTCTCTGTCTCTCTCCGTCTCTCTCTCTCTCTCTCTATCTCTCTCTGTCTCTGTCTCTCTCTGTCTCTCTCTCTCTCTCTCTCTCTCTCTCTCTCTCTCTCTCTCTCTGTCTCTCTCTCTCTCTCAGCACAAACACTTCACTGAAGACATTCAGACCAGACAGTATAGAGCTCTGGAGGTTCTGATTGGAGCAGAGTACGGACCACCTGCTGACATCTGGAGCACCGCCTGCATGGTACACTCACACAACAACACACACTCACACTCACACTCACACTCACACTCACACACACACACGCACACACATGCACACGCACACGCACTCCCTCTCTCAACGATACACACACTAACATGAGTACAGGCTCACCAACATTGGACAGTTGAAGACCTGGTCTGATGTATCTGGATTTGTGCCGAGGCAGCAGATGGTAGGGTCAGAGACCAGCCTTGTGTCAGCAGTCCAGGCTGATGGTGGTGGTGTAATAGTGTGATGTCACAGTTTATCTGAGCATTGCTTCGACTATGTTCATCCCATCATGGCCACAATTTAACATCTACTAATGGCTACTTCCAGCAGGATAATACTCCATGTCACAAACTGGTTGCATCAACGTGAGTTCAGTGAACTTGAGTGACCTCCCCAGTCTCCAGACCTTAATCCAGTAGAACACCTTTGGGATGTGGTAGGACAGGAGATTGGATGATGATGATGATGATGATGATGATGATGATGATGATGATGATGATGATGATGATGATGATGATAATGTTTCAACATCTGGTGGATCCATGACATGAAAAACTGAGGAACTACCCAGTGCTAGTGTGGTGTTCCTAATGAAGTGATCACTGAGTGTATGTGGAACCTAATCATTTATTGATACTGGAGCATTTTGATCGGTAACCAACCCGAACATCACACAGACCAAATCAAGTCTGGATCTTTAACGTGAACCTGTGAAACACCTGTTTCATCTTTTAAAGTCAGATAAGTAAAGTTGTTGGTGTCAGGTCTGAGTCTCCTGCTGCTGTGGTCTCTGGTCTTTAGCTCCTGAATTATCATCAGTCTCCTTCAATCCAGATCCTCTGACAGAGTGTAGGCCGTTTCGTTTTAAAGGTGTTCAGTGTTTAACCACGCCTTCTGGTGTTCAGTGTTTAGCCACGCCCTCATGTGTTCAGCAGGTTCACTCTGGACTCCACTAACTGCTCTTCATGTTAAACTATTGATCGATCAGTGTATTGATTGGTTGTTATTTGTGTTTCAGGCGTTTGAGTTGGCAACAGGAGATTATCTGTTTGAACCTCATTCAGGAGAAGACTACACCAGAGACGAAGGTACCCGAGTACTACAGGACTACACTGAACTATAGAGTACTATCAAGTACTTCAGAGTACTTCACTGTGTGTATTTTTTTCAGATCACATCGCTCACATCATGGAGCTTCTCGGACCCATCCCTCTGCCCTTTGCTCTGTCTGGCAGGTACTCTAGAGAGTACTTCAACAGGAGAGGTGAGACCTGCAGACCTGCTCTGTGATTGGCTGTTTGTTAGTGAAATGCACCCTGGGATTGTAGTTGGCAGTTTAGTCAGTTTAATTCTCTACTAGTCTCACCTCTGTACCTGTCTACCTGTCTCAGGTGAGCTGCGGCACATCTCCAGCCTGAAGCCTTGGGGACTGTTTGAAGTCCTGCTGGAGAAGTACGAGTGGCCTCTGGACCAGGCGGCTCAGTTCAGTGACTTCCTGTTGACCATGTTGGAGCTGCAGCCTGAACGCAGAGCGACGGCAGCTCAGTGTCTACAGCACGCATGGCTGCACACATGAACACACAAACACACACACACACACACACAGACACAGTGGTTGAGGAGTTTTAGTGTCTCTATCTCGGTGGTGATTTAATTTGATGTAGGAAATTATCATCTCGACTGTCTGAATGCTCTGTGGACTGATTCCTAAATTGGTTGATTGATTGGTTAGTTGGTTAATTTGTTGGCTGGCTGTGCAGGTCAACAGATTTAATTGAGGCTGCATCCAAATGTCTGTGATGATCCAGTTCTTAGACTCTGAACAGGTCTGAGCAGGTCGGATTAGGTCTTAGATCTGCTGCACAGAGAAATAAAGAGGATGAAGGTGGACTTCATCATCCTCACAGCAGTGTCGTAGCTTCTTCAGTTTTAAATGTGGTAAATAAACAGATCAGAGACTTCAGGTTTAATAAAGAACAGTTGGTGTTTTATCTGTGATAAGTTTGTAAATGTTAAACATTAGAATAGTATAAAGATACAGGAGGTCAAACTGTCTAGTCCTCTTTGCTGTGCTGCAGAACAAGTCTCATGATCCTGATCCTGATCCGAGCAGATATGAACTCCAGGTTCTTTGCAGAGTCCAGACCTGAATGTACCACAGACACAACCAACAAATGTACACATCTGAGAACACATGGACACATCTGGATTCAGCCTTGGGTTTCTCCTCCCTGCTGACCTTTGACCTCCATCATGTCACCACAGTGATAGTCGGCAGATTTCACATCACAACATGTTGATCTGATGATTTATTAAAAACAGAGTCTGACAGGAAACGAAAACAAAACAGGAATCAGCTGCATCTTCTGTAAACTGATCAGTCTTTCTGTTGTACCTGCTGATTTCAAACCATTTCTGCAGATTTCTGTAGATTTCTGTAGATTTCTGTTGATTTCTGCTGACTTTCTGAAAATTTCTGCTGATTTCTAATTTGAAATTTTCTGCTTTTCTTATGAATTTGCTGTAAACTTTGTTCTTTATGTTGTTCGACTGAATTTTCCTGTTTTTCTGCTGATTTCTGTGATTTCTGTTGATTTTAGTTTGTATTGAACTGACTCCTGCTGTACCTTTATGAAAACTGTGAGAGGATTTTTGATTATTGGTTATTGATTAAGGACTTGTAATGATGGTGATGAGTTTTGGTTTAGATGAGCACACTGTAGCTTCCTGACAGCGGCCGACCTCTCACTGACTCTGACGACAGTATCGATCGTATTGATCACAGTATTGATCTCTGTAGCTGAAACTGAGTCGTCCTCAGATGACATCTGACCTCCTCACCTGTTCACCTTCTCTCACCTGTTTCTATGTTCATATAAGAAATAGTGCCTTGAAATTACCTTGACCCCACCCCCTCCTCCCAGTCACAGTGACATCACCAGAGACATAGTTTTTTCTACATGTGTCATCTGTGTGGAACATTTCTTCTGTGAAAATAAAGATGATATTGAAAGCTGGTCTGACATTTGTCATGACCTTTGACCTCTGACTTTAAGCTGCTCTTCACTCAGCCTGCAGGATTGAGTCAAATCAACAATCTGAACAGGAAAGTGGTCCGCCTGCTGCTCTGGTGGTCAGAATGAATATGATCATAAAGGGTTTTTAAACTGCAAAGTACTTTATTAGTCATTGATAAATCAATGATTGATCAGTTATTTCACCTTCATTATAACATTGTGGCGTCTGTATATCTTCCTGCATCACACTTTATATTTATCAGCAGCTATTCTACTAATTGATCTGTAAATATTTTCTGTTCCTGTGTCACAGTGACATTTGTTTTTCTATTTATGTCTCAGTGAAAATCTGTTGGACAAAACATGACAAACAATCAATCAATTTTTTGGTAAGTAATGATTTATTATTTGAGATTTGTCCCATCTGTTGTTACTTAACTGATCTCTAAAGATTTATCAACAAGTCGGGAAATTTAGTTTATACTTGTTTAATGTGTAAGATCTGTCAGATCATCATCATCATGTTTTATAATGTAAATGATTGTATTGTAGTTAAACAGGAAGCAACTCAGACAGTGACAGACATGGGCGTGTCCACAGGGAGTCCAGGAGGATTTGGATGTTCAACCACCTCAGCATGAAAGAGCAGTGGTCCTCCTCCTGGATCTCAGAGTCCACACACTCTGCCAAAGCAACTCATTCAGGTGCCTCAATCTATCATCATTGTTTCAGCCACTTATAATAAGGTAGAAAAATCAAATAGTATATAATACTGCCTAAACATGTTATTATATAGTAAGGTATAAAAATGTAATACTACTCTGAGGTTACAAATGTCATAGTAGAGTAAAGCAGAAGAACGGCAAAGTATATTAAAGTATACAAATGTCATAGTTCAATGGGGTACAAAAATGTCAAAAAATGTTATGGTACATTAAGACATCAAATTGTCAAAAACATCATACTATAGTAGGGCATAAAAATGTCAAAAAATGTCAGAGTATATTATGCTATAAAAAGTCATAGTATAGTATGTCATAAAAATTTCATGAAAAGTTATAAAATATTATGTAATAAAAATGTCAAAAAGGGGGCGTCATGTGGTGTAGTGGTCTAAGCAGGCGCCCCATGTGTAGAGGCTACAGTCCTCGCTGCAGTTGGCCCCGGTTCCTGCCTCCCCATTTCCTGTCTCTGTACTATCAAATAAAGGCCTAAAAAATCCCAAAAAATATACTTTAAAAATTTTTTAAAAATGTCAAAAACGTCAAAAGTGTAAAAAAACCGTCATGTATATTATGGCATAAAAATGTAAAAAAAAAAAACAGTAAGGCATAAAAAGTCGTAGTATACTACATCATAAAAATGTAAAAAAAAAAAAAAGGTCATACTATATATAGGTACAAATGTGTAAAAAAAACATCAAAAAATGTCACAGTAGACTGAGGCATAATAATGTAAAAAAAATCATAGTATCATAAGGCATAAAAATGTCATAAAAAGTCATATTATAATATTGCATGTCAAAAAACGTCACAATACACTAAGGCATGAAACATCATTGTAATTATTGTTTTCATTATTATTGTTATTGGTGGTGTCATTTTTATTTTTGCTATTATTATTTTATCATTATTACGATTATTATTATTATCATTATTATATCGTCTCATTTCTTGTCTGGATTGTGTTAATGTTTCAGCTTATTCAATTGTATTTATACTGTCTTCTTCTTTTCTCATTCTTATGAAAAAGTGAGTGATCTATGTAAAAGGTTTCATACTGCTCTTTCAGGTGTCCCAGATGGGAAACAATAAAAATCTAAATTTAAAAAACAAACAAAAGACACGTCATAGTAAAGCATAAAACGTCAAAAAATGTCACAGTATAGTAAGTTGATGTACAACGCCAGGACCTAAAACCACTGACTGAAATGTTGACTTCATAACAGCGTCATGTACTCAGCATGTTGACATCAGAGCTTTAAAGTTAGACTCCTGTTGGTCAAGTCCTTCATTTTACTGTGTTCCATACACAATGACTGTACTGTAATATTACAGTGTTTACATAAAATGTCATAGTATAGTAATACTCCAAAAAAAGTCATAGTATATGAAGATATAAAAATGTGAAAAAACTTCATAAAAATGTGAAAAAACTTCATAGTATTGTATGTTATAAAAAGTTATAGCATAGTAAGGTATATAATGTCAAAGTATAGTATGGCATAAAAATGTCAAAACGTCATAGTATAGTATGTCATAAAAATGTCACAAAGAGTCATAGTATATTAAGGCATAAAAACGTCAAAAAACATCATAGTATAGTTAGGCATAAAAATGTTACAGTGTAGTATATCATAAAAATGCCACAAAGAGTCACAGTATAGTACGGCATCAAAACGTCAAAAAACGTCATAGTATATTAAGATATAAAAATATAAAAAAAACTACACAGTATAGTATGTCATGAAAATGCCAAAAAGTCATAGTATAGTAAGGCATAAAAATGTCACTGTAATAAGGTATAATAATGACATTCTATGGTAAGGCATAAAAATGTTATAGTATAATAAGATATAAAAATGTCATAGTGTAATAAGGTATAATAATGTCAGTTTAATAAGTAGTTGAATGTCTAGTGTAGTAAAACGTACATTATGATGTAATTTTGTAGTATAAGGTATAGCATGGTGTAAAAGTATAGTAAAATGTATAGTATGATGCGACGGTGTAGTAGCTGTGAACGTGTAGTATGATGACATCACACAGGACACAGTGTGTAGAACAGGTTTAATATAAAAAAAACCAGAGTGACTCTGGTCTAAAGACTTTGTGTCTGCAGGTTTACATGGTCCAAACATCAGGTTCAGATCAGACACATTCGACTGGCTTGACCCGGCAGGATCTGAGACTGACGTAGATCTGCTTCAGTGGGTCACACACTCTCATCCTGAAGGTCAGAGGTCAGCTGCTTCAGTCTCTGAGTTCAACAGTTCATAGTACTCTTCATCCTCCTCTTCACTTCTTCTTCCTCACCACCGTCCAGCCATCCTCTTCATCCTGAGTAGGAGGAGGAGGAGGTGGAGGATCTGTCCTGCTGACTGATGAACTGGAGGATTCACACTCCATCTCCTGAGAACACAAAAACTTGATCACAGTTCATCCTCACTGTTCTTTTCTATTCTATTCTGTCTGCCTCACCTATTTTTAACTGGGGTACATCACCATGGTAACCTATGCCGCAGTTTAATCTAGAACAGTGGTTCCCTTAAAGTGGCCAACAAATCATTTATAATTATAAAAAGATAAATAATAAAAACATGAATAATATTTTTAGATGTTTTTAAATGCTATGATTCTTGTTTTTGTCATGTGTTAAAGCCTATCACTGTGATAAGCCAATAATGGGACCACATCGTATACTTGTTTGCTATCTCAGTCTGATTGCATGCTAACAGATTACATTTATGGCAAAAACTGGAGCATCAAAATGGATAGCTGGTTAGCAACAGGAAAAATTAAAAAGGAAAGAGTCAAGAGACAGATGGTGAATTAACAGAAGACCTACATGTTTTCCCTGCTTTCAGTTCAGTCTTGACTGTTCGATTGTTACTATTAAAATAAAAAGTACTCTGACCATAAGTTGGAAAAGGTTGGGAACCACTTATCTAGAACAGTACATCATATTCAACAAAAAGCCTCATACAGCAGCTTCTGTAACAGTTACCTGTTATATGTTATAATAATCAATGTTTAGGTCACTTTTCTTGGACTCACCTGTGTCTAAACTGACCAATCAGAGCTCATTACCTGACAGGGGAGACGTACCTGTGTTTCATCATCGCTCTCTTCATCAGACTGTGTCGGTGGAGCTGTCACCTTCACTCTCTGACTCTTCTTCTGTGTTAAACTGTCGATGCTGTGTTGGAGCTGCTGCAATGCCCCCTGCTGCCACTGAGTGAACATCTGCAGCAGATTGATGGACACCTGTACACAGGTGGAGTAGGGTTAACATCTACACCTGTACACAGGTGGAGCAGAGTTAACGTACATCTACACCTGTGCACAGGTGGAGCAGGGTTAACATCTACATCTGTAAACAGGTGGAGCATCAGGTTAGGGCATGCATTATGTCAATGGGTGTTCCCCATAGGAATAATCTAACAAATTTGTCTGTGCGTATGTGTTACTTTTAGTGCGTACCTGAGGTAAACTCCCATCATCCACCACTGTGTCAAACTCCTGATCCATCAGGTCAGCGATGAAGTCCTCAACCTCACACTGCTGCAGGTCAGCTGATCCACACACACACACACATACACAAAATCAAACTATCCTTTTGTATTCAAGAGCAAAATCTAATCAGAATCTAACACTGACCCTAATTTCAAAACATGGACATGAAAAAAGTGATGCGAGCGCAAAAAGAGACTTGATGGAACTGTCTTTTGAGATTATGTTTCCAGCTGTTGGAAATTCATTGAAACACAGCTACATGAAGCTTGACAGTTAGCCTGCTATGGAGCAAGCTAGTTCAGCAATATAAGTTACCATGGTTACTGAGCAGTGAATCCTATAAACCACAGTAATGGAATGGAACTCTGTCTAGCAACACTTAACAACATATGCTTGGATTTTCCTTTATCTACCTTGATGGCCTGCTGATCAAAGTGTGTCTATGGAAACTTTAACAGTGTTTTATTCAACTATTATTATTGGATTAGCTGTTAGCTGCTGTTACTGCTCTGAGCTAACAGGGAGATGCACCTGAGGCCGTCAGATAAACCAATAATCGATTATCACCTGCAGATTATTGGCCAATCAAAACAATGGTTGGTTGCAGGTCTGGTGATCTGGTGATCAGCTGATCGATTAATAGTATAAACAAATACAGTAAACACCTGTTGAACATAACAGTCCACCTCACCAATCACAGGCTGTGAACTGACTGATTACCATGGTTACCTACCATTGTCGTGGAAATACTGCTGAACAACATCCACCATCCAATCTGCTTTCTGCTGCCCATACACGCCCCCAAACCCGTTATCTACAGCAATCTGAGGAAGACAGACAGACAGGTGTTAATGTAAACAGAAAGACAAGTGTTAATCGGAACAGACAGAAAGATTTCAATGTGAACAGACAGACAGGTGTTAATGAGAACAGACAGACAGAGATCATTTCTCAGAAACTAAACACAGCTGAGAAGTTCCTTCATAACAGTGACACAGGTTCTTTGACTAAGTTAAAGCAGACTTGACTGATATTAAAACATTTGATGTTGACAGTCTTTACTTAGACTGTAAAGTTGAGTTCAGAATAAAAAGTCATGTTTCCTCACACTGACTTTTAATGTGTCACATACAAACCTTTGCATTAGTCTATTTCAAGTTGTGTCCAGTGGATGTCGCTCTAACATGAAGAACTAAACCTGTTCTCTGTGTTCAATATAGCTTCATCTCACCATCACTGCCTTATAGCCTGTTAGCTTTAGCCCGTTAGCTTCGGCCCGTTTGCACCGCAGTGACTGCAGTCTGTCACCTGTCTGTCTGATGTCACCTGTCTGTCTGTCGCCTGTCTGTCAACCTGTCAACTATGCGGACAGTTACCTGTAGAACGGGCCAGGTATGAAGAACCGCTCTCACTCCCTCCGTGAAGAGCTCACGTGAAGCTGCGGAGGCCGCCATGTTGGATGTGACAGACAGAAGCAGTAGAGTTAAGAACCAGGATCAGGCAGAAACAGCCGATCCTGATTCGGAGATTCCGGACCCGATGGTCAAACCAGGAAACAGAACTTTATTTTATTTCTATTAAATATGAATTAAAGATAAAAAAAAAATTAAAAAAAAGTCAAATAAAAAGTTTATTAAAGAATCAAATATTTTACCAGGAAAAAAAGACTTGGTTTTCACGATAAGGCCAAAGAGAACTGGACAAACGTGTACATTATTCCCTCAGCTTAGTTGTAATAAACAGTCTGCTGAACCGTTTTACATTAAATAACAATAGAATAGAAACTAATCCTTAGTTTGGAGTCCTTGTGCAGGTGCACGTGATGATGGTTCTCAGCTCTCAGTGATGTTCTTTATTCTGAAACCGAGACAGAATCATTCCAACAGATGTTTTGACTCCTGTCATCAATAATCAAATGAACTAGAGCTGAAAACTAGCCGACTAACACTGAACCAAACTTAATATGAACAAACACGACACACGTCCGCTGCTCTGCTCTTTAACAGCACGTCCAGACAGACAGTTCACTGTAATAACGGGATCGTTTAGTGACCGTGACTTACCGACAATGACAACCCGCTGTCACTGTTAACACTAAGGTCGGTGACGTCACCTTCGCTTTGCAGAACTAATTGTAAAACACGTTATAACATGTTTTCCCTTGGTCTATGGTTTTAATACAAGCGGTTACACCACACAGTTATCTTACACACAGTAACTTCAGCTAATATTACAAGGTTTCTCCTCATATATGTGATATTTACCGAATGTAGACATGAGATCTTTTTTTTTTTTTTTTTAAGAATTTTTGGGGCTTTTTGTGCCTTTTAATGGACAGGACAGTAGCTAGACAGGAAATAGGGAGGCAGAGAGAGGGGGAGTGACGCGCAGGAAAGGGCCGTCCGATGCGGGAGTCGAACCGGGGGCCAGCTGCAGCGAGGGCTGTAGCCTCTATATATGGGGCGCCCTGAGTTAACGCTACTGAGATTATTTTAACACTAAAATATAAAGTTTACCTCGAATTATGAATGCTAACCGTGTTAGCAGCGACTTCATACTGTGTATCCAGGAGCCTGCTGCGGTCAGCTAACCGGTGTAGGCGGCCGTGCATAGCAAAGACTCTCTCTACAGTTTGTCTTGTTATTACAGACTCTTGCTGCACAAAGCTCGGGCATTTTAACATTAACGGATGGATTACTTGTCCCTGTCGGAGCAGAGAGGAGGAGCCTCCGGTCGGCTTCTCCTATTGGTGCGGCAATGATCCTGCGAGTCCTCTCCACAGCTGTTGCCGTTTGAGCATCAGAGGAAGAGAGTTTAAGAGCCCAGCCCATACATCATTAGTGGCAGCTGACATGATATGCAGCTCGCCTCTGTACCGTCTTTGTGAACATTTGTGTGTAATTTGTGATTTGGTTTGAGATGCTGGTTGTGATTAATGTGGACTGAGCTAGGTTTAACATTCTGATTGTGCATCACACCCTTAGAAAAGACTGTTTGACACATTAGGAACAGGGGGGCTGCTTCTTGTGTTTTTGGGTTGGTTAGAATCGCATAGTTAGGCTCTTTGTTGGCTCCTGTTCCCCTACTTCAGTCAGCCTCTAGCCTTGTTTGTATTTTTGTTTACTTATTTACTCTCCTGGTTACGCAATAAATTAAATCAGTAAATGTGATTTACCAATAACACCTGGGTTTTATGTTTATTCCCTTTTCCCCTAGCTGGGTCGTAACATAAAGACTGCCAACATACGGTGACTGGGAAGACACCACCATGACTTCATATACTGACAAGAGTAACCAACATGGCAGCAGTGAACTGAAACCTGGCTCTGTGAGCAGTCCTCAGTCAGTAAGTGAAATGCTCGGTGAGTAAAATTTCCCGGGCTGTTGTATCTTCTTTGCTTNTGATTAATGTGGACTGAGCTAGGTTTAACATTCTGATTGTGCATCACACCCTTAGAAAAGACTGTTTGACACATTAGGAACAGGGGGGCTGCTTCTTGTGTTTTTGGGTTGGTTAGAATCGCATAGTTAGGCTCTTTGTTGGCTCCTGTTCCCCTACTTCAGTCAGCCTCTAGCCTTGTTTGTATTTTTGTTTACTTATTTACTCTCCTGGTTACGCAATAAATTAAATCAGTAAATGTGATTTACCAATAACACCTGGGTTTTATGTTTATTCCCTTTTCCCCTAGCTGGGTCGTAACATAAAGACTGCCAACATACGGTGACTGGGAAGACACCACCATGACTTCATATACTGACGAGAGTAACCAACATGGCAGCAGTGAACTGAAACCTGGCTCTGTGAGCAGTCCTCAGTCAGTAAGTGAAATGCTCGGTGAGTAAAATTTCCCGGGCTGTTGTATCTTCTTTGCTTGCAGAAATCAACTGCCTGGTACTGGATGTGAGTTCCACAGTGTTGGGTTTTACTTTCTCAGCAAAGTGGTTACACAAAGGGTTTATATCTTGATGCTTCATGTGAACACTGCAACATCTACTGGCCTGAATGCAAAATGGGCAAATACAAATGTTTGTGTGTCACAAATTGAATGTAATTATAAGGGAAAACATGATTGTGTTTTATAATCCAAGCATAGATTTATATACTGTAAAAACAAAAATGTTTTGTATGCATCAAATGTGTCAATATCAATCAAGTTAAGCTCAATGTCTTTGTTTTAACTTTAGTGTCTAAACTTTTAAGTTGGTTTGCAATGTGGGCAAAGAACATATAGCTTTACTTTTAAATGTCCACTTTGGTGGTTGTGCTGTAAAGGTGCAATATAAGATCTGTCCAGAACTTTAGTTCAAAGTGTGTGAAGCAGCCACAGTGATGTCATGATCAAGATCTCCATCTGTTGTTTTTCAGTCATCTACTGAAATGCGCATGCTCACCAGCTAGCCCCGACCTGTCCTGTGTTGTAATGCCACTTTTTGACACTAGACGCTGTGTGAGTCAGTGGCGCGTCAAGTCTGCCCTCAGTCCCACGAAGAAGAACAACTTCCGGCAGCGCTTCAAGTTAGCATCACAGAAACACAGGGATGGCTGAACCTCCTCAGATGATATTCATCTGCATCCCAAAGGACCGCTCCTGACAATAAACCACGTTCAACGGCAAAGAAAAGAAGCAACACGAGTAAATCTCGGTGTGGCTTTCCACCGCTGGAGACAGCTCCTGAGTGTAAAGAGATGCGGCTTGATTCCGAGCTCGCAACTTTCCTGTTAGCCAAGTGAGTAGCATCAATGTTAGCTTTTTAGCTAAAAGTATAATCAATGCAACTACTGACAAACCGTACCGACAAACATTTCAAGTGGTGATACTGACGTTGTCGACAGACTTTTCAGCGGTTAGTAGGATTGTCTATTGCTCTCGGCTGCTGTGCAGCTAGTTACGTCAGTAACTTTACGCTCATTTTGTAACTGACTAATTTGAGATTGTATGGACCCAGTAGACCATGTTGTTACCACTTTACATTACTGTTAGGAGGTCAGCCATGATTGAAAGTGCACTATGTCTTTACATTTCTCAGGAGATTTCATCATACCTCTGTCTTTATCAGGACCTAAACCTGTACAGATGCAATACCGCCTCCACCCGTCTCACCAACGTCAGAGTCCAGACACGATGAGGTTCTAGGTGAGTAACATGCTATCATTCACTTTGAAAAGTAAGACTTGTCTATACCAATGATTAAATCAGACCTACAGTGTATACATGTTCATACTGCTGATTCTTAATAATGAATATACCACTACCTATAATGTATTTTACAGTATATCCATATTTGTATTACTGAATTTGTTGGTTACATAGTGTGTAAATTGAATTCATCATACCTCTAGTTGTTTACCCCTCATTTCTTTGCATTTACATTTCATAATATTCATACAGTATTTATTTTTGCATATTAATATCTGTCCTCACAATTTATTATACTCACACAACAGACCTCACATGTTTGAACATGAAGAACTTGTATGATCAATTCCGGTCTAATCACCACCAATGATGATCCAGCACCTGCCTTTTCTTCTGCATCTGTCCTCATCAATCAACAACCACATTACATCAAATACCTTGAGGTATTATCCCTGCACATGACAGATATTGTCTATACTGTGATCTTTTGCACATCCCCTAATCAATACCTTTTGCACATCTTGACCAGCAGGAGTTTTGTCATTCTAAAACACTTAAATTGCTGCCTCACCACTAATTGTGTGTGTGTGTATTAATCTCTTCTACAAATTTGTCACATGTACCTGTATCATTTATTCATAAAGTCTTGTTTTTATTACAGTATATGCTAAATGAGGTTTAAATGGATGACTGGTATACTTTATGTTCTGAAGTCCTTAGAATGCTTCAAAAACATTTCAGTCAAAAGAGCAGCTGCTTATGATGTTTTTCCTTTTGTGTTTTCATAGGGATGGCAGAATCCACCTCAGGCAAGAACCACATGTTGCAGAACCCAGCAAGAAATGGTAAGTCATGCACATGACTCCACCCCGTATGTGTATATATGTTCAAATTAGGGTCAAAATGACTGAGCTTGTAAAGTGACCTTAACTAATAATTCCAAAGTTTGTAGTTGGAAATCAACATTTGTTAACCTGTAAAATAAATCTGCATGACAAATTCAAGTTTCTGTATGTGTAGAAGAGGTTTGTATTAAAGTCTGAATGTAAATTATGAACAAATGATCAGTGAAGTTAAACCAAAACATGTAAAAGGACGAAATGGTCTTGTCAACATCTGTGTCCTGACACAGAGGAAAACTGTAGAGTTGTGTGCCGACTTTTAGTTTTCTGCTGTTTTGATTTATTTTTCTTGAACAAATGCAAATCTTTGTTCCGCCCAACCCCCCCCCCCCCCCCCCCCCCCCCCCACCACATGCACAAACTTGACTTTCTCATGCAGATTTATTTCACAGGTTTAAAAAGGTTGACTTGAACTACAAAATGAGTTAAACGATTGTTAATTT